AAACTTCGCCTGGGCTGAAGCGTAATTCACTCAGGGGGTTGGGGAGGAGTAGCAGTGGTTGGCAAATGCTCATAGACAATAAATCCACTCCTGCAGGTTGGGAGTGGAGTCTCTGCCTAAGTGGACTCAGGTTATTTCATTATTTAGTTACCCTGAATAATTCAAACGGTCCTAATTGAAATAATCAGTCACAGAAATCAAACATGGGGTTTCATCCATAGACATGGGAAATACAATCCAGGCCATGAAATCTGTTAGTCCTAAAAAGGACTGGTATTGTTTTATATTTGTATAAGATCTCTCCTTGTGGAATTAGTTTTGTCCCAGTGTAACTTCTTCTGTGCCTAGGGAGGCTCAGTTCCTTTGGCAGGAAGTTGGAAACCATCATGTATTAGAATTTATTTATTTTTAATTGTGACATGGCTGCTGATGAGATTTCTTCAGGTATTTCATTATTGTCCAGCTTCACCACCTTTGCGTTTATGATAACCACCAGGAGTGGTACATGCTCTGGTTATCTCCTGCTTGGACTACTGCAATGCACTCTGTGTGGGGCAACTTTTGAAGTGACTCAGCAACTACAACTAATCCAGAATGTAGCTGCCAGACTAGTGACTGGAAGCAGCTGCCGGGACCATATAACACCAATCCCAAAAGACCTACATTTGTTCCCAGTATGTTTCTGAGCACAAAGTGTTGGTGCTGACCTTTAAAGCTCTAAACAGCCTTGGAGTGTCTCTGCCTCCATTGCTCAGTCCAGAACTGAGGTCTAGCTCCAAGGATCTTCTGGCGGTTCCCTCACTGCAAGAAGCAGAGGGCCTTCTCAGTAGTTGTGCCCACCCTGTGGATCGCCCTGCTGTCAGATGTCAAAGAGATAAATAATTATACAACCTTCCATGGACATCTGAAGGCAGCCCTGTATCGGGAAGCTTTTAATGTGTGATGTTTTGTTGTTGTTGTGTTTTTGTATACCCTGTTGGAAGCTGCCCAAAATGGCTGGGGCAACCCAGTCAGATGGGCAGGGTACAAATTCATCATCATCATCATCATCATTTAGTGCTTAGACTCTAAACCCCATTCAGCCATGAAGCTCGGTGAGTGATTTTCAGCTCATCACTATCTCCTAGCCTAACCAACCTCTCAGGGTTTACTGTTCTTTGTGTATTGAATTGTATCAAACACTCAGATGGATGTGTGTGGGTTACTAAGCAACTTCTCTTACCTTTTTGGAAATCTTACCAGCGTCCTTTATCACTGGGATGGTCAACCTGTGTCCCTCCAGATGTGCTGGTCTCCAGCTCCAATAAACAGCTCCAGCCAGCATAGCCTGTGGTCAGCATTCATGGGAGTTGTAGTTGAACAACATCTGGCATTCCTACCGCACAGAGTCTGGCAACAGCAGTGCGTCCCAGACCAGTTTCCTTTCTCTAGTTTCTCCTTTCAGACATGCGCTTTGTGGTTTGAGTCATAATCCATTACAGTCAGTAATTAACTGCCTGGTATGAAAATATTCCGGTGCTGTTCGTCTTAGAGCAGATAACTCAGCCTCTTCATAAATTATAAATTGATGATTTATAAAATACACTAACCCCAGTGGGAAATAATCATTTCTTTCTGCAAAAGGGATTGTTAGAGGGAGCCATTTTGCACGCAGAGGCATGGAAAACAGTTAGGAAAACAGCAGCGCATGAATAATTTCAGTAAATGTGGTTAATCTAAACAAACAAACAGCAACATTTAGTAAGTGTTCAGAAGAAAGTAACTATTAAGGATTGGCTCCTTGGGAGTCAAAAAAGAGCTGACTGTATAACTGGGTATCAGATACTGTAGTAGTCTCCTGCGAAATGAATAATTGATGTAGGGCTAAAAACCACTACCACTGTATAATCCTATGCAACAATTTATACAATTAAAGACAATTGCTGTGATTGCATTTTCTCCTTATGATTATGGAATTATAGGCTGATGGGATGCAATTTCATTTTATTACAATTACACCCCCCCACACACTAGAAAACATAATCACAGATTGATATAGATACACTAAGCAGGGAGGCAATTGTCCGAAGAATAGTAAGGGACATTTGGACAGGGAGGTTTGTAGCAGTATCTATACACACAGCAGCCTGAGTAGTTGATATGTGGTTAATTTTCAATTGACTGTCCAGAGTCTGTGGAGTGGGGGACAGCCCATTAGAAGTTTGTTGAATGGAATGTATGGGGTTGTCATATATATGAAAGGTCATCATAATAGCACCCATGGGTTGCAAGTGTGCCCAGCCTGTACCTCCTATGGCACCCGTGAAAGGTCTCGGGAAATATCCTCTCAAAAATACACAATATGTGAGATACTGTTCAGTTCCTGTTTGCACTGGTTCAGCCTCCCCCTGCATTGAACACTCTCCCCATTTAAGCCATAGGAAGTAGTGGTCCCTCCACCTCCCACAACCACCCTTAACAATTGTCATTTATATGTCACTGAAGTAGACCTCAAAAGGGGAACACATCTGGCAACTCACATTTTTGCTCACTGTGTTTGTTAGTGACACTATGAATTTTGGGGAGTGCTGGGAAGTTCAGGTGCCTAGCCAATGACATATTGCATTTGGAGTAGAGATGATCTGTGAAATAGATAGCTCTCACTGACTTCAAGAAAAGTCATGATCTTTTCATCATCTTTATGTTACAACCATGTAAAGAAACATTGTTCTATGTTGCTTTTCTTTTCCTTTTAACCACAAGACGTAACCGGTGGATCAAAAGTAGCAGCTCTTGTGATCTTCAAGTAATCTCATGATTGACAGTAGGTAAGGTAAAGGTAACGGGACACGGGTGGCGCTGTGGGTAAAACCTCAGCGCCTAGGACTTGCCGATCGTCAGGTCGGCGGTTCGAATCCCCTCGGCGGGCTGCGCTCCCGTTGCTCGGTCCCAGCGCCTGCCAACCTAGCAGTTCGAAAGCACCCCCGGGTGCAAGTAGATAAATAGGGACCGCTTACTAGCGGGAAGGTAAACGGTGTTTCCGTGTGCTGTGCTGGCTCGCCAGATGCAGCTTGTCACGCTGGCCACGTGACCCGGAAGTGTCTGCGGACAGTGCTGGCCCCCGGCCTCTTAAGTGAGATGGGTGCACAACCCTAGAGTCGGACACGACTGGCCCGTACGGGCAGGGGTACCTTTACCTTTACCTTTAAGGTAAAGGTAAAGGACCCCTGGATGGTTAAGTTCAGTCAAATTTGACTATGGGGTGCAACACTCATCTCCGCTTTCAGTCCGAGGAACCCAGCAATTGTCTGCAGACAGCTTTTCTGGGTTATGTGGCAAGCATGACTAAACTGCTTCTGGTGCACAGAACACTGTGACGAGTGCCAGGGCATACAGAAATTAACTTTACCTTACCACCACAGTGGTACCTATTTATCTACTTACTCTGGTGTGCTTTCAAACTGCTAGGTGGGCAGGAGCTGGGACAAAGCAATGGGAGCTCACCCCATCACGCAGATTCAAACTGCCAACCTTACCATCAGCAACCCCAAGAATCTTAGTGGTTTAGACCACAGGTATGTATGTATTCTTATTATTCCACTTGCAAGAAATATTATTGGTTGAGTGTTCAGAAGAGGTCACCAAAATAAATGAACGAAAGAAAAGAGGCTATTTTTTCCCAATAAGTTTTTTTACTGTACATTTTGTAGCAAAAGAGGGAGAGAAAAAAGAAAATATTTTGTTCACAGGGATGTCATTTTCTAAAACTTCAAATAGGAAACATGACGAATAACAAGATCAAATACACAGCCATGTCACAATAGATCTCTGAGCTTTTCTCTCTTAAAAAAAATACATAGAGATTTGTGTGTGTATGTGTGTTTCTTCTATCCTTTGCCACCTTTCTCGGCACATCCCTTCAAAATAATGTGCAATTTCAGAAATGGTTTCCAAGTGGAATGATTCCTGGGAGCAAATAAATACAGAAAAATATATCTGAATTAAAGGCCAGTTGCTCTTGCTGCCATAAGTACTGCAAATTTCACAGTTGTCATGGTTTAGTGAAGTTGCACATGCATATCCTCAGCAATCCCAGGTCTTGCAGCAATGTGCCTGCAAATGCGTCTGGTGATTAGTTTGCAAGCCACAACAGTTGATCTCAAAAGAGCAAGGATCTTGGCATGAGAGAAGGGCTTGTGAAAGTGGTGAGGGGCAAGGGAAGCAGCACCAAAACAATTAAACATGGGACACCACCTATTCTGCAAAGCATCTTGTTTTCCATGGCTTATTGGAAACATCCCCCTAATCAAGCATTTCACTGCACAATATGCCTAGAGATCTCAAGTTCTCCTGCTCTTGTTTTGATTGACATTGCTACATGCCATTTGGTGGCACCGAACACGCAAGAACGGTGCTTGCTCGTTTTCTGGAAAGGGTATGCAAGTCTACGTTGTTTGTGCTCAGCTGAACAGAGGGAAACTGCCTAACCTTAGCTGGAAGTGATTTATGAAGAGATAATCAAAACAGTTTCATTCCCCCCCACCCTTTGATTATGAAAACTGGCTTCCTCTCTACCTCCCTCCTCTCAGACATCAAACTCCCTCAGACAGTTGACCAAATTATCTGCAGCCTCCTTATACAATGACAAACAAAGGATCATGAAGGGAATGGACAAAGGGGGAATCTAAAAAAATATTAACTCCTAGATTTCTTTTCCCCACCCTAGGATATAAAGATCAGAAGAGGAAAACAAGTGTGCAGTTCACTAGGTGACTGGTCTTCCTTAATTTAGTGCAGGAAAGAAAAGCAATAAAAATAAACAGCAGAGACCTTTTTATTATTTCTGGGAGGAAAGAGATAAAAAAAAAATCCTCAGCCAAACCATGGCAAGAAAATTTCCACGTGTTGCTGATTCCATTATGAGATTAAGCCGAGAAGATGGTTTGCACGCATGCTCTTTTTCTCCAGATGCTGTCTTGATGAAGGTCCTTGGACAACCATAGTGGCAGCTGGGCTTATCCTCAGGTCATCTTTATATCCATGGGAGTCTCCTTTTTAGAAAAAAGAAGAGGGAAGGAATTCCTCTCTGAATGAAACATATGCTGCTTAACCTGTTTTTAATCCTCATTTAAGCTTTTTTGACAGTTCACCAGGAATGCACCCGTGATTTCCTTGAGACATTCACACAAACATAATGAATGTGTTGGATACATTTCATCAGCTTCTCTCACTCTCACTCTCTCTCTCTCTCACACACACACACACCTATTAACATTTCATAACCTCTCTTATCCAACTTGATTATCTGACCGATATACGGCTGTGTGCGCGCATATGTGTTGTGTGTTTCTCCCATCATGTTTATGGCCTTTTTAACAATCATGGACTTCTGTTATGCTTGGAGGGATTCAGAATGGAACAGAGGGCCACTCTTATTTACACTGTGCTTTCCATCACCCACTCTGAGCTCCCATAAGTTCCCCTCGCCCCTGTCAGGTCACTGTCGTCATACTGCAAAAGCATGCCGTTCACTGATAGACTGCGTTTTGTCCAAATGTTTGTGATCTTTTTGGGGTAGTTGCAACACTGAGAGGTGGAAAAGTCTCCCATGTCAAAAGAATGGCTACGCTTAGTTTTACCCTCCAGTGGCAACATGAGGAGGCTACGGAATTTGGACTCATGCTGGCCCAGCAGTGGCTCCTTGTCTGAGTGATGGGCCACTGTTGAAGTTCTGGAGTCTATTGTGTCCTCCTTTTTCTGACACTTCAGTTCCAGGGAGGCAAAGGCTCCCATGAGCCGATCAATGTTGTTGTGCTTTGACCTCGATGGGGGCCTCCACTTACTGGACAATGTGCCCTGCTCACTTTGGAGGCTGTAGCCATCGCAGTCGCGACTATTCACAGAGCTAGAAGAAGAGGAGATGCTGCTGTGTGCAGACTCACAGTTAAACTCCATGAGCTCGTTCCTTACCACCACTTTGGGGTTGACTTGGGGCAGGACCCCGTTCTGAACAGGCTGGGATCCATTAGTTTGTGAATAGACATTGCTAACGTTAGCCATCTTCCCCGGGGCATTGTTGCAAACCTTGTACCGGACCATGAGTACGACGATGAACACCAACAGAGTTGCCACGATGATGCCTCCGATGATCAGGATCATTGTCCCCCCCAGGAACTGGCTGTGCATGGACTGGCACTGGGGATAGTCCTCTTTGGTGTAGAACTGGGCGCAGCCCACAATGTTGGTAGCGGTGAGCGTCGTGGCGGTGTCGTCCCACATGGCCAGAACGCAAAGATCGTAGCCTGTCCCAGACACCAGGTTGTTCACCACAAAAGCCTTGTTTGTAGCAGGGATCATCCTTTAAGGGAAAGAAAACAGCAACATTAGTTTAAAATGTGATGGGAAAGTAGTATGAGTGGGGTGGGGGCCAAAGCACTGGACAGCAGCAGAAGGAAATATCTAAATTTTAGTTTATTTCCTCAAATGCCTAAGTCAAAAGACATTTAGCTGTTCATCTCTGAATATGTTTCCTCTACCAATTCTGTCATCACACTCTTTTTCCTCCCTCCCTCCTTACAGTAGAACACATCTTATCCAAAATCCTGAAATACTGGATGATAGTCACAGCCTCTGGTGTCCCTGCACTCCTTCATTCCTTTCCTTACTCTGACCTTCAAGGTCACTAGTATCCTTGAATGGTGCATGGGGGTCTAGCCATTCCAACATTGCTGATGGGATTAAATCCATGTTAACACACATTATAAATCAGGAAAGTGGTTTTCATTTATTAACCTAGCAATAAAAACTCAACAAGGGGCAATTGCTTTGGTTTAAAGACATGACTGGGTCACTGAGTTATAATCCTGTAAGCATCCAAGATCTAACTACCTAGCTCTCCTTTTCTTGTTAATTTGGCTGAAAGGACAAAGGTGTTAAAATGGGACAAGAAAAAGCCAGGAGGTTAGACTACTTCTTTTGTATACACTGTGTGCACACACATACAAAAACAAAACAAAACAAAACCCACAACCCCATGCTGATCAAGGAATAAGAAAAGCAGAGTATTATTTCTAACTGGATATGTATCCAGCTGACATAGGCAGCTTACATAATAAGTGATGAATCAGCAAGTTCTTCTTAGGAAACTGTCATCTCTAGAGCTCTGCCTTTGTGACAGCATAGGCTGTAGCCTGAACTGTGAGTGGGAAGTGCGACAAGTCAATCAGCCAAACCAAATCCTCCTTCTTGTTACTTTTGATGCTGTCACCATGTGGACATCTATATTTTTCTCTGACTTCCTCCACTAAACAGCCCTTTAATGTTCCAGACTTTAACTGTCCTCATCTACTCCTTGTACAGTGGTACCTCGGGTTAAGTACTTAATTCGATCCGAATTAAGTACTTAACCTGAAACTGTTCTTAACCTGAAGCACCACTTTAGCTAATGGGGCCTCCTGCTGCTGCCGTGCCGCCAGAGCCCGATTTCTGTTCTCATCCTGAAGCAAAGTTCTTAACCTGAAGCACGATTTCTGGGTTAGCGGAGTCTGTAACCTGAAGCGTATGTAACCTGAAGTTTATGTAACCTGAAGTACCACTGTATTGGGTAGAATAGCAAGGCACTTAAGTGTGGCCACAAACCTATTTTTTACAAAACCAATTGTACTTTTAGTTAAAGGTCAAGAAAGGCAACACATTAAACAGTTTTTTGGGGGGGGGCATTTTTAGAAAGCAATTTTACGATTGGAGTAGCTGTTCAATCAAATAGAAGCAAATAAAAAAAATAACTAGAGATAAACACATGCAGCTAAATCGAGTACTTTTTTTCTAGAAAAATAGGTGCCAGTGCTCACCATGAAGTTGTTAGAGTAATTGCTACACTTTTTAACAACAACAAAAAGAGGTGCCAGTGCTGGGTACCCTTGAGTAGCCCCTGAAAAAATGCACTGCTATATCTATCAGATACTGTTTCCCTAACCAATACTTATCAACTTGCACCCATTGATTCAATTTCTGGGTCCCTTTGTGGTCCCCCCCCGGCTCCTTTTTTCCAATGCCTGACTCTACTGCCTATTACTTTACACTGTTCAAGCTCTCTGTTTGGGCCTCTTTACTCTTGTAGCTCTTCCATTCCAGCTCTTTGAATCTTATAACCTTCTAACAAACTATCCTCCTTTATAGCTTGACTCCCCCTCTCAACATTTTATCCAATCAGAAGGATAGTACAGTCTTAGCTGAGATTCTATTTCCCATCTAGGAATGTAAGAAACAAACAAACAGTCAGGAATAAATAGTAGCTGCCTACAATCTGACCCCTGTCCGAAATCCTGACCCACTGTCAGCCTGCATAGACCAGATATCAACCGTTTTAGACCCAGGACCTACTTATAAACTAACCATGTATTTGAAGACCCATTTCTTAATCTTCTACCATATATTTGCACAGGGGTACTGCTCCTGTTTATGTTTTTGAAGAGCAAAAAAGAGGACACATTTGCCAATCTCTGCTTTTAACTATGGATCACTATGACGACTCTCATTTTACATACCCATGAAAAAGAGGACGTGTCCTGGAATAAGAGGACATATGGCAACCCTACATCCTGCTGCAATTCACCTTGGATCAGGCCATGACCCACTAGTGGGTTCCGGCCCACCTATTGAACACCAGTGGTGTAGACCAGGGTTTCCCAAACTCGGGTCTCCAGCTGCTGTTGGACTACAACTCCCATCATGCTTAGCTAGCAGAGCCAGTGCTCACGGATCATGGGAATGGTAGTCCTAGTGACCCAAGTTTGGAAAACCCTGGTGTAGACAATATTGAAGTAGATAGACCAATGCTCTGCTTCAGTATAAGGCAGCTTCCAATTTTTCCTAGTAGGCAATGTGGCCCATACAGATACAACTTAGAACTGTAGAATAATAGGAGATTCTGTTTAACACAGGCAGCTTAATAAGTACAGTAGATTTCTGAAGTCTACATGGGTCTCCTGTCAATGTAGCGCTGCATATTAAGAATAACTCAGAGTGGAAATAAGAACAAGATAAAGCTCTCTCCTCCCCACTGTCCCTATTGTTCCTCATCCACAGCAATAAAATCTGTGGAATGAGGGCATATTCACAAATTGCATTTTAAACTAAAGATTGGTTCTTCAGCATGCTATATATAGAAACAGTTCCTCAAGTATTAGTTGCTAGCCATACTTTTCAGTTACAAGATAGTAACAAAACTTTCCAGTGCAGAAATTAATGATAGAACTGTTGGAAGTGTTCCTTCATAGCCAACGAGCCTTATTTCCATCTGGTAATACATTGCATTCTAGGGTCTCTGAAGAGAAAGAAATCTGCATAGTGAAGCTAGACAGCAATAAGGAGGAAGCCCACAGCCATGGAGCAAAAGTTAAAAGTGGTGGGAGTACTTTTATTTAGGATGGACCTTATTTAGGCCCCAACCACAACTTACATTTGGCTTCACCTAAAGTTTCCTGGGAAATGTAGTTTGTTAAGGGTGCTTAACATACTACAAAAATATGTAACTGCTCTCTAATATCACTCTTCATACTCAAGGACTCGAAAGTGGCCAATGTAACACCAGTTTTGGAAAAGGTACCCAGAAGGGTTCCTGGAAATGATGGGCTGGCAAGCTTAATGTCTGTCCTGGGAAAACTGATGGACTTGACACCAAGACTACCTTCACTGGACTCTTTTTGGCATCTGCTTAAAACAGGCACCCCCAGACTCGGTCCTCCAGATGTTTTGGGACAATTCCCATCATCCCTGACCACTGGTCCTGTTAGCTAGGGATGATGGGAGTTGTAGTCCCAAAACATCTGGAGGGCCGAGTTTGGGGATGCCTGGCTTAAAACATTTTTTGTTTAGACAAGCATATCCAGATATGCAGAGGTTACATGTGTTTTCTTTCTTTTTAACTCCTGTTGGGTTTAATCGTAAAATAATTTCAATATTTTATTTTATGTCTTAAACTACTTAGATGTTTTCTTACTATCAGGCAATATATGTGTGTGTGTGTGAGAGAGAGAGAGAGAGAGAGTTTGTTAAATAAATAAATAAATAAATAAATAAATAAAATCATTTCTTTTCTTCCCCATGGAAAAATAAAATTAATGAATATTTTCTTTCTCTCTACTGGTGACTGAAGAGTTCATTCACACTTCAGGATTAAGCAAGCAGCAGCTCCATCTCCTTACCTTAGTTGAAGTGTGAAACTAGTTGCTTAGGATTAATCGTACTTTAATCCCTTTTTAAAATTCGCACCACCTTCATCTGTGATATGAATTAACCACTCCTTATAAGCCGTGCTGAATTCTTTGAGGACTTCTCTGCTTTTGCTGGTCCCGTTTGATTACAAAGCAGAAAGCTAGAGCTGGTGTTTCACATAATATTCTGTGTTTATATTCCGTGGAGTTGCCACCACAGACGTCTTGAAACTGTATGAGGTTTCTTTATTCTCTCTCCCCTGTACCCACATTCTAAACTAGGGTGGGGAAACTTTAAGCTTCTCTCTCTGGCCTCAAGATGGAAGAAGGCATCCATTTCCTTTCCCTCCTGTATTCCTCAAGTGCAGCACCATTTCCATTCAGCTATTCTTCTCCCAACAAAAACTATGCCATTTGTCTTGCTGTCTGCTGTAGCAGAATTTTGCATAATGAATGAATGATGTCATTATATTCCTCCTCAAAGTTCATTTTGGTGCAGAGGAAATATACTGGAAATGTGGGATGGGGGACACACACACACTGTTTATTGCATGGAAACAAAATAGCAAATATCTACCATATTTGCAGTGTTGTTTTCCAGTCTGAACATGAGACAAAAAAATGCTAACGTAGGTCATTTCTGTCCCTGGTTCCATTTTCATCAGAATTATCTGACATCCCTGCTGCCCAGGCCACTTACATCTCTCTCCAAGCCACATCCCTTACTAGTCCTGCTCTGCACTGGCTTTTCCCAGACTGGGATGTGTTCTTGAATTGTCATCATGCTCTTGCTTGCCTGGATACAGAATGGACAGATGTGTTTGTGTATAAACCTCTGACTCTCGCATGGCTGAAATGCAATCAACCATACAAAGGTAAAAACCCAGACTATTGTTTCGCTCACCTTTGCCTCTTGCTCTCTCACCAATGGTATGCAGTCCCCAAAAGCTCTCCATCAAGGAATGTGGTCTTTGGACTGAAGGTTCCCCACCACTGTCCTAAATCAAACCCTACCCAAACTACTTTTCTCCATTGCAGAGGGTTGGAATAAATGATCCTTGGAGCCCCTTCCAATTACATGATTCTACTTTTCTTTAACCCCTTCATGGATCACTGCCTTGTCATGGTGAAGGGGTCTGAATAACTCCAGGAAGCTCTGAGCTATGCCGTGAAGGCCACCCAAGACGGACAGGTCATAGCCGAGAGTTTAGACTAAATGTGATCCACCTGGAGAAGGAACTGGCAAACCACTCCAGTATTTTGCCAAGAAAACTCCATGGACATAAAAAAGGAGAAGCTTTTAGAAGAAAGTGAGCGTTTCCAAGGCATGCGCTGGTTCACGGGGTCACGGAGAGTCACACACGACTAAGACGACTAAACAACAACAACTTTTCTTTAAAAGCCACCACTGATTTCACCCCATTCCCCTTGCCTTTACTTTCTGCAGCACTCCCTGTGAATACTTAATGTCAAAGTGAATTCATTTTTACTCCAACAATAAAGTTTAGTAAATGCTATGATTAGCTTTCGTGCACCAAGTGGGCCCAGCTGATACCAATCTTTAATCACAAGCCAATCGCACAACCCTATCTTAGAAAGCTGTTGCGAGCATCCAGCATACTCATGCAATTACAGCTGCTTGCATGAGTGGTCTAGTCAGGTGAGTAATACATCGTTGGAGGAGGCCAGTCATGGAATTGATAGCTTCTTCCATGCTTAGAAATATTATTATTATTTGTTACTTGAACTCCGCCCATCTGGCCTGGCCTCCCCAGCCACTCTGGGCAGGGGAGTTTTCTAATAAAGGAGCAAAAGTCATCATCTTCCCCAATAAGGAGATTACTAGCACAAACTATTAAGTGCATGTGCATGCTGGCTACATAAATATTAGCAGTGCCTCTCTTAGCTGCTCAGGATAAATGTAAAAGAAGAGCACAGTGCCACAATCTCTGCAATAAAGCACCACAAGAATTGCTAGGGCTAACTTGCAACTAAATATTGTTCTTCAGTGACACCACATTTGTTCTTAGTGATTGGTGAATTTCCCCAAAGAACTTAAATATGTGGAAGCATAAAAAAGTAAGCTTGTTAATGAGCTGTTCCCTTTCCACTGCTCTTTCTCAATGAGGCATTATTTTATGCAGCAAAGGCACAATCCAGTTATTGCTTTTTGCGGCTATTTCATTTGTGTGCTAGGTGTTGCCCAGAAGTGATGTGATCACCCGCCTCAGAGGATTTATATGGCAGAGATGGCAACAGTAAGCTGAACTCAGGGATGAAGGAATAATAATGAAAGGGAAGGGGAAGAGATCAGCGCCAGTAGATGGAATTGAGAAGAGGCTCCTGCTGTGGTCTATGGCTTCAAGAAAGAAGTAGCTTTAGAGAAGTAATTTTTTTTAGAGAAGACAAAAATGTGTAATGTTACCGAAAGTGATAGAAACCTGCTTGTATTATTTATACTATTATGAAATGAGCTCTGCTATTTTTTTGGTCACTTTACTTAACACAAAGTGCAAAACTACAATAATATTTGTGTCAGGGGAATGGAATGCATAGCTACTACCAACTGGGCAAATGGTCTATTGACTTGGGATGCTTATCCAAATCGGCCTCTGATCCAAATAAGCATATCACTGCAGAACTGAGGTATAGCATCCATAGCTAGATGCAAATCTAAGGGCTGCTCTTACTTGCTGCGTTACTTGCTGCTGCTGATGTTGTTGCTGATATGTGTGTATTTTAAAGGCATCATGGGGATGATTTTCATCATGACTGCCATGTGCAAGGATGGTTTTTAACCCTTTCCTCTTCTGCTACAATCCCAATGACCCTTGCCACTGCACCAGTTATTAACCCAGGGAGAAAAGCAGCTGTTTGTGCCAGTGGAAGCTGTGGTGCAGCAATTTTCATCAAAAGCACAACAGGGATGGAAAGGGTTAATTCCCTCTGGAAACATGCCACGTTCCTCACCATAATTACTCCATACCTGCAAGGGTTTTTTTTGTTTTGTTTTTTCAAAAGGATACCGTAGCAAGTGTAGCATCACATCTAATCTGGTTTAAAATGTGCATATGAATGCCATTCCTGGACAGTGTGATACTTCCAAAAGGCTGTATACCATAATACAAGGGGCATTGGCCAATTTGGCTCAGGAGGGGGTATTTGTTCCCACCCTTTGTAATCAGAATTTTGATGAGGAAATGGCTATGAACAGGCATGAAAAATGGATGCAAGATTTGGATGTGAAAACTCAATCCAATAAAGATTTATAAAATTCCGAGATTTATGCAGAAATGTGGAGAACTGAGTTTGAAATTGGAATATTGAGAAACTGAGCAAGAACGAATCTAAGAGACTGATTCATCCCTCTCCTAAATGGACCCAGTTTATTTGCTTGAGCAAATAACCATGACAGCCGTGGTTTCTTTTAATTGCAAATCCAGACATACCAAGAGTCTTAGAGTTAAACCTGTACACCTGCCTTCCTGGATCTAAGAATATGGGAGAGTAGTTGTGGCATCGTCAGGTTCAGTGGTCAGTGTGAATTCTCCCTTCAGTGCTGCATTCATGCTTTGAAGGCAACATTTTATCAATGCAGGATCAGATCTGTGTTTCAGAAGCATGTGGATTAGAAGCAGTCACCAATCCAGTGACATAGATGTAGTTGTCTCCACAGTGCATCACAAGATCTCCACTCTGGTTAAATGCTAGTAATTTTGGAACGTGGAAGCCCCAATTAAAGTTTGTTCAGAGTTTTGAGCTCCCATGGGGATAGCAACCCAGAGTACAGCTAAAATACTTGGGACGTTATCAAATCCTGCCCAGCTACCGCTTTTTAAAAGAGCCCCCTTGGCTCTTTATTTCATCCCTGATGCCACACCCGCACGGCTAACGTTCCATGATTAACAGCACCAGGAGTGCAGAGCAGCTGTGAAAGGATGCACTGTGTGATGAAGCAAAGCAGGAATTGGAGTGGCCTCTCTCAGCTGCGTATGTTGGGGATAATCAAAGAGTCATCAATATCCCAGAGTGAAAATGTGTCTGCATTGATTTTAGGTGTGAAGACTCTTAAGAGCTACCATCAATCACGGCCGACTAGCAATACGTTTTGAGGAGGGAGGGTTATTTCAGAGAGTGTCTCAAAAATAGTCTTGAGATTGGGTAACTTCATGAAAAGTAGATCATCCTCTTCAGACATGGGAGCACCACCTTTGCGTTTATTTGTTAACTCCCAGAGTGCTTGAATACTTTCTCATTCAACCTGAAGTGCTCATATTTCAGATTTATACGGCATGGAGAAAGTGACTGTAGAAAAAAATTTCATCTCTCACTCCTAACACTAGAACTCGTGGACCTCTAATGAAGCTGAATGTTGGAAAATTTGGGACAGATAATAGAAAGTCTTTACACGGTGTGTAACTATGAAAGTCGCTCCCACAGGAGGAAGTGATGGCCATCAACTTTGATGGCTTTAGAAGAGGACAAATTCATGGAGGAGAGGACTATGTTCTGCCTCCACAGAGGCAGTAATGCTTCTGAATACCAGGTGCTGGAAACTACAGAAGGGGGAGAGTGCTCTTGTGCCCAAACTCTCCTTGTGCATTTTCCACAGACATCTGGTTGCCCATTGTGAGAATGTGATGATGCACTAGATGGGCCACTGTACTTACATTGTCTTTCCTGTTGGGGACCATGCTGAAAAGGGCTGCACTGAGGGGGAATGGTGGGAACCACCCCTCTCCCTGCTGCTGTTGCTCCTGAATCTTCCCAGGAGCAGGAGGACAGTATAGATTTGGAATAGTGGTTTGCAGAGGGGCATAGTTCAGAAAGCAGAGGCTGGGAAATACTGGATGGGGAACAGCTAGGTGAAGAAACACTAGAAGAAAGAGGGTTAACAGATTCACAGACTCTGGAAAGCCCAAGGTCAAGAAGAGCTCAGAAAGTCTCAGAACAGAAAACGTAGAGGTTACAAACTCAGATTACAAGACATAGGCGTGATGTAGATTAATAGAGTAGTGATGTATGGAAGTGAGAGCTGGACCATAAAGAAGGCTGATTGCTGAAGAATTGATGCTTTTGAATTATGGTGTTGGAGGAGACTGTTGAGAGTCCCATGGACTGCAAGAAGATCAAACCTATCCATTCTTAAGGAAATCAGCCCTGAATGCTCACTGGAAGGACAGATCGTGAAGCTGAGGCTCCAATACTTTGGCCACCTCATGAGAAGAGAAGACTCCCTGGAAAAGACCCTGATGTTGGGAAAGATGTGGAGGGCACAAGGAGAAGGGGATGATGAAGGACAAGATGGTTGGACAGTGTTCTTGAAGCTACCAGCATGAGTTTGACCAAACTGCGGGAGGCAGTGGAAGACAGAAGTGCCTGGCGTGCTCTGGTCCATGGGGTCACGAAGAGTCGGACACGACTAAACGACTAAACAACAACAGATTAATAGGGACGGAGGGGGGCTGATGCTTAATTGGGAGTATTGCCATTTCTAGGAGATGTGTTCTTTGTTCTCTCGCTGTTAAAGTTTCTAACTGGTAAGACGTTCCTTTCTTTGATCTTCTGATCTACTGCCACGTGGGGAGGAAGCTGATTCCCCGAAGCCTGACACTTCCGTTGGAACATCCATGCGGTGATTCACTTTTGGTACAGAGCTTAGCTAGGCACCATTCTAATTTCTATATTGCTTGTTTACTCAAGATCAGAATAGTATACAGGCACTGCCTTTACTTTCCCCTCTTCTGCACTAAACAAGAGTGTGAGTACATTACACTGGATGTTTGCTTTGTCAGTACTTGAAAAGTGTAGATCTGTGCCTTTGTCTGTGCTTTTTGATTTCAAGATGATTGGGTCACCTGTCCGACTTGGCCTGCAGGGGGTGTGATGGGGGGAAAGTAAGGATCCAGCCCACAGGCTGGATTCAATTCTCAATTCCTGCTTCGAAAAATTCTCAGCAAACTGAATGGGCAAGGAGCACTTTAGGCATGTATTTTCTGCTCAAGTCCAGGCACTTTGTCACTTCTCCCACTCTTTATCCTATTCTGAGATTCATGGGCAATTCAGGCTTGGCAAATTCCGATACAAACTGACCTGATTTGCACCTCCCAGACTAATGTGTTGATTAGAGCTGAGCTCTCCACCAGCTTTCACACATCCTAAAAATTCCAACGAGCTTATTAGCACCAAAAACGTATCAGAATTTATTTTGAGTTAAAATATATTTTAAAAGCGACCAATAAAAAAAGAGCATTCCTATTTAAATAAATATTTAAAAGTAAATTATGTCGTGCAGATATTTTTAAAAATGCAATTAAGACAGAAACGGGAAGGGATTTTTTTGGGTGAAAACTTGTGGACATTGATATGGACAGGAAATAGACAGATCTACCCTTCCTGGAAAAGAGTCTCCACCCCCATCGTTCAGCCCGGAAACTGAGGTCCAGCTCTGAGGGCCTTCTGGCGGTTCCCACACTGTGAGGAGTGAAGCTACAGGGAACTAGGCAGAGGGCCTTCTCAGTGGTGGTGCCTGCCCTGTGGAACACCATCCTGTCAGATGTCAAGGAAATAAACAACTATCTGACTTTTATAAGACATCTGAAGCAGCCCTGTTTAGTGAAGTTTTTAATGTTTGATGTTTTATTGCTTATTATTATAATTGTAATTATTATTCTGTTGGGAGCCGCCCAGAGTGGCTAGGGAAACACAGCCAGATGGGTGAGGTATAAATAATAAACTATTATTATTATTATTATGCCTGTTGCCCAGATGTACATGGAGTGCTGGCAAAGGAAGGAAGTTAGGGGAAAGGATTGATCTGCTCTTGTACACTCATAGAGCTCTCTTACTTTCTGTTATGGTGGGGAAATGGGGATTCCTAACCATAATTAAGACACTTACTATGAGGAGCTGCTACCCACTCATGAAAGTTACCGTATTTTTCGCTCTATAACACGCACGCGACCATAACACGCACGTAGTTTTTAGAGGAGGAAAATCCGTAGGCATGCCACCCATAGGCATTCCCTCCGTAACACGCACAGACATTTCCCCTTACTTTCTAGGAGGAAAAAAGTGAGTGTTATGGTGCAAAAAATACGGTATTTCTGCCTCCTGAGTAGGGATGGACAAACCCGACCATTTCATTTCCCCCATTTTTTCCACTCTTGAGTTCTCCATGCCTCTTCATTGGTTTGTGCTTTTTTTCTTTTTTCTTTTTTGTTCTCATGAAAATTCATCAGGATTGTAGTGCAAATTTCTCCTTGATTGCAATTTTGCCTGATGTACACATTTCTGCAAAACAATTTCCCCTACTATGAAGTATTTTTGGATGTTATTTTCATGCACATACATGCCCTAGTTTTACCCTAGTAGGTGTATTCTTGTACACATGACATGGCTGCTGGATCTCACTGCATAATTTGGAGAAGTTTGAATTTTGAAGGATGACTGTGCTTCGGTTCGCTTACTTTCAGAAAGTGTGAATTATATAGATTTGCCTTGAAATGCAAGTGGAATTGAATTTTTTCCCTAATCCCCACTCCCAGAGAGGCTTCCCACAAACTCCAGGATTCACAACTCTATATATTTTTCTGGTCCAAGTCTAATAAAATTAATCTTGCGTTTGCCCCGAGCACTATAACATTAATGAATCATATAACTGGATATAAATATATATCTCCTATTGCCTCTGATTCCAGCTCTCCTCTTTGATTTCCTCCTTGACAATCTGCACCCCCTGGTGTGCTCTCTCAGTACATATCAGTAACATACCATGTGCTCTTGAGGACCCAGCACAGCATAAATTGCATTTTTGCAATGTTTTAACTAGGTCTGTGGCATCATTAAGCAAATTAGGAAATAAAAAGGCTCCGGAAGCCCAGCAGGAAACCTTTAATTCTCAGGTTTGTTGTGGACTTTCAGTCCTATTCCTGATGAGAACTTAATGCTCATATACCCTGTTTTCAACCAATGGACTAAGTCACATGTTAACATCCTGGTATTAAGGTTAAAGGGTGGGGCAAAGGGGGAATTGATTAGGCTAATTGGGTTGGCTACTCAGTTCCTATTCTCCCATCGTGGGATAAAAGGTAAGAAACTTTCTGTTCTTTAATTGATCTGGGTAGTTTGAAAAGGGTGGATTTACAAAAAGCCTTGTTTAAATAACAGTACAATAATAATTATTTATTGTTTATACCCCGCCCATCTGGCTGGGTTTCCCCAGCCACTCTGGGCGGCTTCCAACAGAATATTAAAATACAATAGTCTATTAAACATTAAAAGCTTCCCTAAACAGGGCTGCCTTCAGATGTCTTCTAAAAGTCTGGTAACTGTTTTTCTCTTTGACATCTGGTGGGAGGGTGTTCCACAGGGCGGGTGCCACTAACGAGAAGGCCCTCTGCCTGGTTCCCTGTAACTTGGCTTCTTGCAGCGAGGGAACCGCCATAAGGCCCTCGGTGCTGGACCTCAGTGTCTGGGCAGAATGATGGGGGTGGAGATGCTCCTTCAGGTATACTGGACCGAGGCCATTTAGGGCTTTAAAGGTCAGCACCAACACTTTGAATTGTGCTTGGAAATGGCATCAGACTGCAAGATACAACTGACCATATGGAACAGAGGTGTGGGAATTTTCCCAGACTGCATCCGACACTCAAGCAAACTTTGGGGATGTGGAATGGCAATGGTGGGCAGGGCCGAAAGCTAAAAGTGTTAGCTCTTTGTACAATAGGCTACATTCAAGCCATACAAAAGCCAGAGGTTTCCACACACCCGCAGATCTCCATCCAGTCAAGCAAGAGCGACTATCACATTCTAGCCTGCCTAAAGCATTTGAAGAGAGATCTGGAGCAGGGGCATGGAGTGACATGACCCAGGGAGGAGGTGTGACCTAGAGAGTCTCAGGGCCCAGACACAGAGGCCTGGAGGGCTCCTAGAGCCCCCACTCCTACCACCCTGATTTAGAGGAAGAAGCATTTAATGACTAATTAGATTTTTATCAAATAAAGGTGCTGTGTTTCCCAGGGCTAAAGCTGAGTAAATGTGTGTCCCTTTTCATAAGAAGGATAATGAATGTTGACTGGTGAAATGCTTTGTCAAATATAATTCAGCATGGGCATGTTGAAGTTTTTGCTGTGTCCTTTTAGATCAGGGTCCATATTTCTAGAATGTTCTGCTCAATAAAATATGCTATTGCCATCATCACCACCTTCGCCTAAATGAGTTATCTATAAGAGTAAAGCACTGAAATTGGGAGGGCAGAGGCAAACAACTTCTTTGCTGTGTAGCTGAAATGCAGTTTATGAACCCGAAGCCCACATGTGGACCAATGTTAGGCATAGAAGATGGCATGTAGAAGTGAAGGTTATATGGATGTAGGGCGTCCAACACATTAAAAGAGGCAGCAGGGCCACACTGTGGACCACACCTCCCTCTTGTCATGAGAACATAACCAGAATCTTGCTGAATCATACCAAAGACTCATCTAATTCAGTCCTATTGTGGCCAACCTGCTACCTATGGGAAGCCCATTGGAACTGAGTGCTGGTGTTGGAGCAGGAGAAGTTCCCACATGCAGCTGTTACATCTTATATGGAAATATAAAGCATGATCAACAGAAACAACGATTCCAATGAATTTTGAGTTATGGCCACCTTTGAATAGTGGCTCCTTTGAAAGAAGGAACGCGGTGCTTCTTATTCTGCAGCTGTATTCTCCAAGAACATGAAAAGAGCAATCACTTATAATGGATTGTTCTGTGCACCTATGAGGTTCCTGTTCAGTTCCATCATGTCAACGCATAGTACTGCACCATTGAGGGTCATGGACACAGAAGACTTAACAATGACTATAGAAGGAACTTGTCTCACATATGTAGGATTGTTCAGGAGAGACCAAAACTGTGCCTTCCTGTACTTTGTACAATCACCTTTTAAAAAAAACACCAAAAAATCCAGACACTTCCCTTGGGACACAGTTCCACAGCCTAATAAATTTCAACATTAATTAATGTTCCCTCATGCACAGAAATCTCACACGCCTTTTCTTTCTCTTTGAAGCTCAGGGGGAATGTTCATTATCTCTATCTGTCTTGCTCACCATTTCCTACCAGGCTTATCAAGGCCCCATTGACTTTCTCTTTTCTTCCCCCTTTCTCCAAATGAGTTGAAGAGAGCATAATCAAATTAGGAAATAATAATGAGGCAACATGTACCATGGGTTTCATCTGACAAGCCAAATTCTCCAAAGGGCATCTGGATGTGTGAGTGATGAGAAGGCAGGATTCAGAAATATGGGGAGGGAGTTGACTCTAATGATAATTGGTCTATGAAAAGGCAGAATTAAGACTCAGCTTGTGTGTGGTGAAAAGAGGAAATACTCTTTTAAAAAAAAGAAAGAAAGAAAATATGCAACAATTACATCGTTGACTGCTCTAGGGACTGTGAGACATCTGCAAATAAATGACTTAGTTCAGTTATGTCTCTGCTTAATGAGCTTCAGGAGACAGAGGCCCAACTGGAAGGCATAACCTAAGTTTGACTTTTACTCCCTTGGCATCTCTACTGATGATATTGCTGACTCACTCCATGTAGGTGCCTGCAAGGATCCTAGCCTCAATATGCAGGACATGAGAGCCAGTGTGGTGTAGTGGTTAGAGTGTCAGACTAGGACCTGGGGGCCAGGGTTCAAGTGCCCACTTGGCCATGAAGGTCACTGCCTTTCAGCCTAAACTGATTAAATGAGGAGGGGGATTTAATGGGGATGAGGAGAGCCAGGTATGACACCTTGAGTTCTTTGAAGAAGAAAATGTAGGATATAAATGGAACACATGAATAAATAAATAAACTAGGCACTGAGATGCACAGCATCAGGGTACAGTGAGTCCTAAAGGCCTCTGGGTGGCATTGCGAAGACTGGTATGAAGAATGTTATGTATTCAGTGGTCTGAGTTTGCCTGAGCTTGAGTCTGGACTAAGGATTCTGAGCCCCTGTGTTCTGATTTGATACATGATATCCAATCACAGAACATTTCAGGATTTGGGCCTCTACCATTGGCCCATAATCTCTGAATTATGATTCGCAGCTTGGAAGTTTAGACAGCCAATCACGTTGGAAGTGGGAGTGGCCCAGGCCTTCAGAAATAAAGCAGTTGCTTTGCCCCTGTTATCTAGTTCTGTTAGTTCAATAAAAGTTCTTGCTGTTATCACTGTGTCTTGCCTCGTGGGAACTCACCTACACTTCAGTGGACACAGACCAAATGACAGAAACAATATCATACACTGAGTCTTCCTACAATCAGCAGCAGGACTGCATGGGTGGAGTTGTGTTGAGCTGTTGGCTTCTCAACTTCCTAACATCACTGCCACTTACTGAGAGGGAAAGGAGCATCTCTCCGTTTCTGAATTAACTATTTACAATTCCCCCACACCCACCATGTATCTATAATATGCCTGTAACTTAGGATAACATTTCATGCATCTGATGGAAGTTGAGTCCATGGAAACTTATGTCTCAATAGATTTGTTAGTCTCCAAGACTTTATTGATTTTTATGCAGCAGACTAACATGGCTACCTTTCTGAAAATGGTCAAAAACTCCATTATTTCTTTGCGTCTCCACCCCCACCCCACATTCATTCTGAGTCTTGTTTTGCTTATCAATGAATCACCATCTTAATTCAGATCAGCTTCTTGAGAATCCAGGCCACATATCTGAAATTAAACGAATATGAAGAAGAAGAAGAAGAAGAAGAAGAAGAAGAAGAAGAAGAAGAGGAGTTTGGAGTTGATATCCCGCCTTTCACTCCCTTTAAGGAGTCTCAAAGCGGCTAACATTCTCCTTTCCCTTCCTCCCCCACAACAAACACTCTGTGAGGTGAGTGGGGCTGAGAGACTTCAAAGAAGTGTGACTGGCCCAAGGTCACCCAGCAGCTGCATGTGGAGGAGCGGAGACGCGAACCCGGTTCCCCAGATTACGAAACTACCGCTCTTAACCACTACACCACACTGGCTCTCATCCAGCCTCATCAAGAAACTTTAACATTAGTCACAGCAACACACTCAGCCATGATTTATTCATGAACTAGTGGAAACCAACTGCTTCAAAAATAATAATAAAGGCTCCCAAATAGAACTCTCTCTTTTTTGCCTATTACAAAGATATCAATGGTAATTTTCTGTTCACACTATGAGATAATTGCCATTCTGTGAGACATGCAGTACGGAATCCCACAGTTTTGTATTTGAGTGCTCTCATAAAAGCTATTAACTTGTTGAGGTTATTAAGCATTAATTTGACACGTCACTTCTTCGGAATGGATGAAAACTGGTTTTTTGTTTTTTTTTTAAAGGTAGAATATTAATTTAGGAATCGGGGGGGGGGTTACCATTGACAGGATCAGAATAAGGCTATCAATGGCAACTAGTCATAAGGGCTATGGGTGGAGACCTTTCTCTCAGCCGCATCCCTTCTCCCCAGGCCACCCCCCTCCTCAAGTGGTTTTGCCTGGCTGGGATGTGTATTTGAACTGTGATAATGTCTCTTTCTTGCCTGGGTGGAGGACTAAGACAGGTGCATTTGTATAAAACCCTCTAACTTGCATGTGGTTGGAGTGGAGCAACCTTCACATTCATCTCTTGGTATGCCCCATGGAGGACCTTAAGGTCCATAAATAGCAACACCCTAGAGGTCCCGGGCCCTAAGGAAGTTAGATTAGCCTCAACCAGAGCCAGGGCCTTCTCAACACTGGCTCCGGCCTGGTGGAACACTCTGTCTCATGAGACCAGGGCCCTGTGGGATCTGATTTCTTTCCACAGGGCCTGTAAGACAGAGTTGTTCCACCTGGCCTTTGGCTTAGAATCAGTTTTATTCCCTCCTACTCTTTCTTTTCCCTTTCTCCTCCTGTGAAAAGGCTGCATCCTAAAGTTTTAATGTTGTATTTTAATCTTGTTTTTTAAATTGTATTTTAATCAACTTATTTTTATTATTGGTTGTTAGCCACCCTGAGCCCAGTCTTGGCTGGGGAGGGCGGGGTATAAATAAAATTTATTATTATTATTATTGATTACATCCACTTTTCCCTCTACCTCCCCCACCCCACACTACTGAAAGGTTGTCCACAAGGCAATGTGGTCCTTAAATGGAAAAGGGATCCCCTATCCCTGGGATGCAGCATTCCGCTAGCAGGATCACTAGGGAACAACTGTGGAAGAGGTCTGTTGTCCCCATGTTCTGCTTGTGGGCTTCCTGTGATAATCTGGTTGTCCATTGTGAAAAACAGGATGCTGAACTAGAGAGGAATTTGGTCTGATTCAGCAGGGTTCTTATGCTCTCAAGAGCCCAGTTCAACATCTGTATAGAAGGTTTGCCCCACTCACTTCACTGAGAGCAGCTCTGGTTCTTCCATTAGAGGGAATCGGGAAGAAGTTGAATCTCCACATTTCCACATCAGTTTGAGGGTTGTTGTTGGTTTTTTTAAGAGTCCTCATGAAAATATACCAGTCTTTTAGTGCAGATTTCTCCTAATATACTTATTTTTTGCACTTTTCCTTAATATAATGCCTTTTGGAATGGTATTTACATGTGTGTTTTTTTGTTTACTTTAAATATAACACAAACTATTACGTAATTTTATGCATTTAATGAAGGAGGGAAGAGCCTATTCTCTGGCCCATGTTATTTTCACATGTGTTCCTTCACAACTCTGTCACGTCTTGTTACTGCATTTTTTTTTATTTTTTAATATAAAAAGCATATACAGTGGTACCTCAGAAGTTGAATGGAATCAATTCTGGAAGTCCGTTAGACTTCCAAAAAGTTCGGAAACCAAGGCATGGCTTCTGATTGGCTGCAGGAAGTTCCTACAGCCAATCAGAAGCTGGGGAAGTCGCGTCGGACATTCAGGTTCCAAAGAACATTCGCAAACTGGAACACTCATTTCTGGGTTTGTGGCATTCGCGAGCCAAAACGTTCAATTCGCAAGGCATTCGGGATCCAAGGTATGACTGTAACTATGCTTTTTTAAAAAAAACATATATTCTCTCAAAATGTGCATTTGTAAGCATTTCTCAAATACACATTACTAAAAGTATTTTCTTCCCAATGTGTGCATTCTCTGAAAACTGTTTTGATTGTGTGTGTGTGTATGCAACAAGAACGGTGTCAGGACACTTGGGTGTGTGTCTGTAAAACCTGTGGCTAACTGCATTCCATTTCCTGCATTAGTTTTGGAAGTGTCAATCGGGTTAGTTCATATTGGAAATCACAAGAACTGAAGCCCTTGTGGCTTAACTTTGGCACTTCAACTAACATATTATGGTGCTCAGCCTTGAAGAAGTTGGCCATCTTTGCTTTATAAGCTAGACATGTCACACAGTGCCATCTTGTGGATATCTTGGAAAATCTACTTCGAAGGGTAGACAGTCTAATGAACCTTAAGGAAACCCCAACAATTACCTTGACCATAATTAATTGAGAACCTCAGAAACTGGGAGGAAAGTCCTGCTGTGCACACTCCATTAAAACAAATGGGGTGAAACTTATACTTAAGAAAAGAGTGTGGTAAAAGCCTCACAAATTTCATTATTTTTGTCTGGAGGGGGTAATACAAAAAGCTGCAATCCTATGCATTATTTAAGTAAAAGACTCACTAAGGGCTCATCCACACTTCCACTTTCCCTGCTGCTTTCTCCCAGGAAAACCTGCCCAAATTTCAATTGGGTTTTCTCTGGATTGATATTTGCTCCATAGCTGTCAATTTTTCCCTTTTCTTTTGAGGAATCCTACTCGGAATAAGTGAATTTCCCTTTTAAAAGGGAAAAGTTGACAGCTATGATTTGCTCTGATTTAGTATAAACAGCATGTTTTCTGGGGAAAGCAGTGGGTCAAAGGCAAAACTGCTCGGACTCACGATATCAAACTAAGTCAAACAGCAAGTATGAAATCAAGTGGCTTAAGTTAGGCAGTTGATTTCAATTGACCTACTCACTATATGACGAAAGCCGAATAGCACCCTATCGGTGTACGGCACAAGTGTCGTTTTTTGAGCAGGACATCCCAGAAGCCACCCTGGCTTCTGATGCCAAGAACGGACTTCCAGAACACATTAAGTTCGTAAACCAAGGTACCACTGATATCTATCACTGTATCTCAGAGAGCTATTGCGAGTTAAACACTGAGGAAAGACACTGTTCTAAGCTCCTTGAATGTAGGGTGGAATACAAATCTGGTAGATATTTTACGGTATCAGCAAAATTCTGTTGAGACCACCCACCATTTCTGCAACCTAGCTAAATTCCCTATGTCCGATGCAGTTCAATGCACAATTATTTGGGACATGGATTACATTATCTTCATTGACAGAAAGGAACAGCTGGGGGAAAGGCATGCCAGTTTTTGATCATTTTTCACAAAGGGGATTGGAATTCAATAGAAATAAATGGTGTTCAGAGCAATACAAATATTGGAGCTCTGTAACAACTGATGCTATTAAACCTTGCCTGGAAAGAAAGAGAAGCCGAAGTTAAAATTCCAAGAGCTGAAAATGTAGGGCAGCTGCATTATTTTATACATTCCCACAGCAATCTTACGAAGTGCCCCCCCCCCGAAGATATTTATATCTTTGATCAGAAAAAAGAGCTATTGCACAGACCTAAAATTCCAAGATAGGATGATATACTATATATGAATTGGTGCATAATGATGGTTCAAGAAATCTGTGTCATATGTCAGTCTTTCGCTGGTAAAATTAGTACATGTGATTCTAAACCAGAATAATGAGCTCTTGGCAGTATGTAAAATGTAGCTTTCTTTCATGTACGTGGGAGGGCAAATATTCCATTTGTCATCATCAACTTCCTATACCACATTTTAAATTCTTGTAAAGCAACCCATTTACTACCTAGAATTCAGTGCCTCAGAAATGGAAAAAGAGATGAGTTTTATTATTCCAATTTTTAGAGTGAACATTATCAAATCTGTTTTCAAGCTAAAAACAGCAACAACTATGAGGCAGAGAGATGTTTAAGGTTGGCAAAGAAAATGCAAAATATGAGGTATTTGAATTTCACTTGGTGCTGAATTATATCTGTTGCCAACTATTCACTGTCTAATGACTTCAGGTCCCAACAGTAACTATTGATAGGGTTGGGAATGCTTACGAAAATGTGACTGAGAAAATGGAGTCTTTGGCTGAATACAAGCTCTACCTGAGGACAAGTAGATCATCCTATTTCTGTGTCATGGCAGTTTCACATGTGCTCCATCGTAGGACTACCCCGGCAGGTTTTTCATGGATTTTTCACAATGCACATGGAAAACTTGCATTTAATTTCCCATATTTTGTACACACATTCTACGTGAAAAATGCGTGTTTTTGTATGCCTTCTAATGCACTTCTCCACAAAACATAGCTTTGTGCACTTTTTTAAAAAAACAACAAAAAAACACCCTGATACAGCATCACTAATTGCAGAGTAATGCACAATCTGAGTGATAGCTGTGTTCTGATCTGCATAAAAGGTCTAGGATTGGTCAAGTAGCTCAGTTCACTTCATAACATGGACTGAACACATTTCTCCTCCATCCCCAGCCCCACATTCCCTGTTCACTGCAGGCTTTGCTCATGTTCCTTTTCCTTGGCTCCTGCTTCCTCCATCTTTCCTTGCACTGGCTTCCTTGCCCTAGTTTGCTGCATAATTTGCCTCCTTTCCTCAGACCTTTAGCACTGCCTTGACCTCAATTTGTTCTGGTTTACTGTTCCTTTCCTTTACACCTCCTTTCCTTGGCTACCTCCTATTTCTGCCCCTCTTTCCCTCAGGTACCTAGAATGTAACCCTCTTCCTCTCTTTTCTTAATCTCATAATTACAATGAATGAGCATTGGTCCTCTATCCCATGGGTTAGGAACATCAGGCCTGTTGGCCAAATATGGCCCTTCCAGCCTCTCTGAGTGGCCCTCAGAACTCTCCCCAGGCTACACCCCTCACTGACCCTGCTTTGCATCATGACTGTTTTTGCCTGGTCGGAATGTGTCCTTGAGCTCTGACAATGCCTTTGCTTGTCTGGATGAAGGATGGAGAGCAGCATGTCAATGGGTGTAGAAACTACCGTACTATACAAAGGGGATCTTTACAATCATTTATCTGTTTGCTTTTGCCTCTGCCTGGCATGTGGCCCTTGGAAGGCTGGCTAGAATGGAATGTGGCCTTTGTGCTGAAAAAGGTCCCCCATCCCTGCTATAGTCCATCATGCTGCTTCTAATCATAGTCAACTAGAGGCTCCTGGAATGTCCACTGATGGACAAAAGTCCTACTCTATGGTCCCTACGCTTTGGGAATGGGTATTCAGAGGAACACCGCCTCTGAATTTGGAGGTTCTGTTTAGCTTTGCTGGCTCACAGCCATTTAGAAACCTGTCATCCATAAATTAGTCTAATCCCATTTTAAAGCCACCTGAATTTGTGGCCTTCAGCCCATCTGATGACAGCAAGTGCCATTAATTTTGCAGTGTGTGAAGAAGCGCTTTCTTTTGTCTCTCCTGAAACTCTTGCCAATCATTGTCGCTGGATGATCCTGAGTTCTTATATGATGAGGGAGAAAAGTAAAATCTCTTTTCCCTTTCTCCACAACATGCATAATTTTATCAACTTTTCTCCTATCTTTCCCCAGCTATGCCATTTTCTATGCTAAATAGCTCTGGTAGCTTTAGCCTTTCTCTCTACAGAAGATGTTCCAACACTTCAGTTATTTGGTTGCCCCTGTCTAGGCCTTTGGCAGCTCCCTGTTTTGAGGTGGGGCTAGCTAATTGCACACAGTGTTATAGACGTAGGCATACCATGGGTTTTTATAAGGACATCGTTATATTTAATGCGTGTTTGATGTATTACACTGATCTAATGATTTGCAATGCATTTCGTATTTGCTTTATGAATGGAATGTTATTGTTGATTTTATGCTGTTCACTACCATCACATATTTTCTTGATAGTGTAGAAATCTTTTGTAAATAAATAATATTGCCTGTTTTACTTTCAGTTCAGATCTTAATAACCCCTTGAATGAGATTTGCCTTCTTTTTCACCACTTTATCAAACTGAGCTGACATTGGATTGACTTTTAACAATGATCTCAATATCAGTTTCCTGGCCAGGCACCTCCAGTTGAGTCTCTGGCAATGTATTTGTGAAACTGAGGTGTTTTGCCTCAATGTGCATCACCTGACTCTTCAAGTCTCATTTGCCTTTTGGTTGCCCATACAACTAGTTTGGACAACTTCTTTTGAAGTTTCTCACATTCTGCTTGGATTTTCACCATGAGGTATTTATCATCAGCAAACCCAGTTAATTCACCTCTTGCCCCAACTCCAGATAATTTATGCAAGCAGTCAGTAGAGCATGTTAATCTCAAGGTCATGGATTTGAGCCCCACATTGGGCAAATGATTCCTGCATTGCAGGAGGTTGGACTAGATGGCCCTCGTGGTCCCTTCCAACTCTATGTTTCTATGATTTAGGGATCCCACTACTTGCTCTCCTCCATTGTGAAACTTTATTTGCATCTTCAGCTTTGTGTTCTTTAATTAGGTACCAATCCAAGGGTTTGCACAGAAGCCTTTGTTGAGGAAAATTCTCAAAAGCTGTTTGAAGCTCAAATATATGCCTAATAGATCAACTTTATCTACATATTTATTGGCACCAGAACAATTTCAAAAGGTTGGCGAGGCTGACTTTCATCTGCAGAAGCCACGCTGATTGATTCTTCCTCAGCAATGATTGATCTTCTATTTGTTGAATAATTCTAACAAATAATAATGTTTTCTACTAGCCCCCCCCCCCCCCCGCGTCTTGCAGTAGACATTAGGCTTATGGGCTAGTTTTCTCCTGGCTCCTTCTGAAACAGTAACAGTACATAAGGTAAACACAATTTGGTTTCTGGACAATCTTTGGAAATTCCATCATAGGATTCCAAGCACTCCTTTGCCAGGCAAAGCAAGGAGCTTCCAGTCATGTGGCTACATGGTGGGAATTGCTCTACTCTTCTTCTTCTTTGGCGATCACTTGTAGCTGGATAAGATTGTCTTCCATGAACACAGTCTTAACAGTGAGTCCATAAGTGACTATGGAGGCCAATTCTGGATCCACATGTCCTTCCACAGTGAGAACATAGATTTCTGGGCAGGAGTTGATCACAGTGAAGGTTTGCCAACATGCCTTCCTCTTAGCATGTTTTTCCCTTTTGTCCTGAGTTCGAGCGTCTTCAAAGTCCATGACACCTCTGGTAAAGGCTATACTCCAATTGGAATGCTCGCAGGCCAGTGTTTCCCAATTGTCAGTGTTTATATTACAATTATTATTTTTTAGATTTGCCTTGAGAGAGCCTTTAAACCTCTTTTGTTGACCACCAGCATTGCACTTTCCATTTTTAAGTTCAGAATAGAGTAATTGCTTTGCAAGATGATAATCAAGCATCTGCACAACATGACCAGTCCAGCGAAGTTGATGTTGAAGAATCACTGCTTCGACACTGGTGATCTTTGCTTTTTCCAGTACACTGGCATTAGTTTGTTTGTCTTCCCAAGTAATGTGCAAAATTTTTCAGAGATACCATTGATAGACTCTTTCAAGGAGTTGGAGATGGCGTTTATAAGTGGTCCATGTTTCACAAGCACACAATAGGGTTGGTAGTACTTTGTAAACAAGCAATTTGGTTTCCCTGCAAATGTCCCGGTCCTCAATTAACTGCCTATCACAAAAGCATCTTGAGAACTGGTGGGGCAAGGGCAAGAGGTGCTTTCTCCACCCCTGTACCCATTGATAGCCTTTCAAGTTGTCTAAGGCGGTGCCCATCACTACCTCTTCCATTAGGAAATTCCATGCACACTGTATGAAGAATGACTGCTCCCCGCTTAAAACGGGGGGCGCCCTTTGCATGGACGTGCGCAGCCCCTAGATCTGGAGCGGCTCCAACAGCATAGGCTTGGTTTGCCTTCCCTCAGGTGGGATACCTGGAGGTCTCCGCCTACCTCAGTCAGTTGTCCAATCCCACCTGGGGCAAGCGTTGCCAAGGAGACCAGGCCAGGTAGGGGAGGGTTTAACTGCCCACACAATAGAGGGAGGATCTTACCTGGGAATCCTCACTTGGCTCCAGAGCTTCTCCCACCCTACCCACCCTCAGTTAATGTCTTATTTGCAGGTTAACTTTTCTTCACAGGTTTTGCAGGTTAACTTTTCTTCGCAGGTATGCGGGCGCTGCTACGTTAAGGTCGCTGTTAAAGGGCCGGAAAGGAATTTCCCTGCATTGGCAGGTTTCGCCTTTCCCGTAGCAAAACGTCACAACTTTGGCGGTATCAGGCCTTGGGCAGAATCCTTTAGTCCATCTTCCTCTTTGCGGCGGCGATACCAGGGTTCCCCGTTAAAGGGGTTTCTGAAGGGAGGCTTTGACCGTACGCCGAAAGGTCGTCATTGCTCTCCCCCGCGGCGGCGGCGTAACGGGGGCTGCTATCTCTGCTTGAACATATGTTCTCCAGAGCCGGCCCATCCCCCCCCACACACTGGATAACCCTGATGCTCCCTAGGTCCCCGGCTGGGGACTGGGGAGGGAGAACGCCCAATGCCTGAGCCAAGGTCTACCCACATTTGAAATTTAATAAAGTTGTAGCCAATTTAATCCCATAGCACGTTGTCATGAGTCGTTATTCCACATGACGGGGGGACCGCACGGGATCTGGGGACTCCGCCTGTCCACGCAGATAGTTTTTTTCATCTGTCAATTCAGCTACATTGGATGACCCCAGACTATAATATTATCAGAATTGGGGAGACACACACATTTATCTGCTTTCTCTACACCATGCATAATAAGTAGTACCTCTAGTTATGAACTTAATTCTTTCCGGAGGTCCATTCTTAACCTGACACTGTTCTTAACTAGAGGCGTGCTTTCGCTAATGGGGCCTCTTGCTGCTGCTGCACCGCCAGCACACAATTTCTGTTCTCATCCTGGGGCAAAGTTCTCAACTTGAGGTAACACTTCTAGGTTAGCAGAGTTTGTAACCTGAAGCGTTTGTAACCTGAGGTGTTTGTAACTCGAGGTACCACTGTACACATCTATTATCTCCCTTCTCACTTGTATTTTTCTAAACTAAAAAGCCCGAATTACTTTATGCTATTTTCTGTTAATTACATAGCTGGAATGTAACCGTCAACCCTATCCCTGACCTGTTATATGAACAGCAGATAATTGTTCAACTTTTTTGTTGTTGTTGCTTTGAGCACTGAATTACCTTACTGATACCAATCAAATTCGTTTTGAGTTGGGTACTATTGCAAATTTTTTTTGAAAACCAGGATGTCCATAGCTGTAGTCGCTACAGTAGTTTGACATTAATGACCCTGCAGCTCAGGATGAGACAAATAGGAAAACAACAGTATTCACTGCAAAAGGCAACAGCTGCATTTGAAGGCAACATTTTATTGTATTATGCAAATATGTTTGCACATGCCTGTTACAAACGAGCACAGTGCCTTTCTCGATGGCAAGGGAAGAACAATTAATATTTATTTTCTCTGGCTGTGATCAGGGTGGGGGTGGGGGACCTCCTACACCATTAAATCAAATTAGTGAAAAGTTTATAATATGGAAAAATGCATATGTGCTAGCGGGTTTTCATCACAGTTCATTTATAATTCAGTGAACACCACAGATATTATCGCAAAGAAACAGCTCTTTTTCTGCATTTCTTGTAAGGCACCACTAAAAACATAAGAAGAGCCCAACCCGTTCAGCATTCCGGAATAAAACCACCATTGCCACCACAGCTACCGTGGATAGCTTTGTCTCACCTTGACTTTGTCTTTTAAAGCCATTCATGTTGGTGAGCCCCTGGATGGATAGTAAACTTAACAGGCAGACAGGTCACCTGCTCCCAGTCTTGCCCATGCAAATTACCCTGTGCAAATATTGTGCAAATCGGTGCCCTCTTTCCGTTGTTGTCAGTTAGGTATTTCTTTATTCTGCCATGAAAGAATGTAAGATCTATTTTAAAGAAATAAAACTGCCATTCTGCAGTGGGGAGTGGGGGTGGGAATAGACAAATGACATGTGATTCCTGTTTTCTTATCCCACAGTAATGAAAATGAAAAGTTTTTTCCCCCTTTTCTCTTGATAGGAACAGCCAATGCCTTGAAGGCTATGTATGTATGTATGTATGTATGTATGTATGTATATATGTATGTATAATCTATCCCTCCATTATCATCATCATATAATAATAATAATTTTTTATTTATACCCCACTCATCTGGCTGAGGCCCTCAGCACTGGACCTCAGTGTCCAGGTAGAATGATGGAGGTGGAGACGCTCCTTCAGGTATACTGGGCCAAGGCCATTTAGGGCTTTAAAGGTCAGCACCAACACTTTGAATTGTGCTCAGAAACGTACTAGAAGCCAATGCAGATCTCTCAGGACCGGTGTTATATGGTCCCGGTGGCCACTCCCAGGCACCAGTCTAGCTCCTGCATTCTGGATTAATTGCAGTTTCCGGGTTACCTTCAAAGGTAGCCCCACGTAAAGCACATTGCAGTAGTCCAAGCAGGAGATAACTAGAGCATGCACCATTCTGGCAAGACAGTCCATGGGCAGATAGGGTCTCAGCCTGCGTATCAGATGGAGCTGATAAACAGCCACCCTGGACACAGAATTGACCTGCACCTCCATGGACAGCTGCGAGAATCCAAAATGACTCCCAGGCTGTGCACCTGGTCCTTCAGGGGCACAGTTACTCCATTCAGGACCAGAGTCCTCCACACCTGCCTGCCTCCTGTCCCCCCAAAACAGTACTTCTGTCTTGTCAGGATTCAAGCTCAATCTGTTAGCCGCCATCCATCCTCCAACCGCCTCCAGGCACTAACACAGATAGTACTTACAGACATTGTACAATGGTACAAGTACAAGACCTATATCGGGAACAAGGGAAGGGGATCAAATCAACCTTACCTAACAACTGAAGTGGGACTCAAAGCCATTGCGGGGGGGGGGGGCTGCTCTTATTCACACTAGGCAGAGCAGCCTCAGCTATTTCCTCCCTACTGGTGGCTTCTGTAGGGGTGGGTATCCAAAAAGGAGGCAAATCTGACCTCCAAAAAGTGCACCACAGCTGTCACCGCCACTGTGGCAGCCACCATCAATGCATTCTTTGGAGGCTGGATCTGCTGCCTCTGTGGATCCTGCTCATGGCTGTGCCTGTGAATACTTTCTTTATCCTGAGCAAACCATTTTGTATGACTGGCTTTTCGGACTGATGAAGCGTGTAGCGAAACCTGTAATATATCCTGAAAACAGATCTCCTTTTGCCCACTTGCGTTATTCTCACCAGGGTGGTGGCTTTGATTTGCCTTCCCGTGATTGGTCCATGCATACGGCTTTGTGTTTCCAACTCAAGACCCATTGAAGAACATCTCATCCAGTTCAATCTTTGAAAAACTTTTTCATATTCTCCAGTGTGCTACCCTTGCCATTGTGGTGGCACGGGGTTGCCATTCTGTGATTGGACTTACACTACTTGTTGAACGGATCATTTATCCAGTCTGTATAATGTTTACTGCACATGTAACTTGTTAAGATACAGTTGTACATTTATCCACTCCATGTTTACAGTATCTCCAGGCTTTGTCTTGCACATGGCATCTTGGTATGTTTGTTGTTTGAATGGTTACAAAGTCTATCTCTATTCTAGCTATTATTCTAGTAAATCTGGTTTTATACTTATAAGCCAGTTTGTGGTGGTGTTGTTTTGTTGTGCCCCAAGATGGCCAGCTCTGAAGCCCTCTCACTTAAGTTCTGCTCAGAGTGCAGACTCCATCCTAATCCCTGCACAGGGGTAGCCAGGGTCCCAATGAAGGAGCAGCAGTCACTTACCTGACCTCCCATCACTGGCATTGCTGTGAGGGAAGGAGGGATGGAGCGGGGAAGGCATGAGGTGCATGGTGCAAACGTAGCAGTGGGACCAATCTGGCGTTTTTGCTGGTGCCTCCCCATCTCTGCCCTCTTGCCTCACTCTCCTGTTAAGTCACAGTGACACCAGAGATGGGAGGTCAGGGAAGCACCACGGCCCACACCAACCACTACAACACGGAACCATTCTGAGGGTGTAACTCAGGAGAGAACAGTAGCTCCCTTTAGCAGGCAAAAGCTATAGATAATGCAGACAAAACCATTTCCTCCTCAGACTTCATATGTGGCTCTGCAGTAAATTGCAAGCCACTATGGCAGTTCAAAGACACGGCTGTTTAGTTTCACTTAGCTACACAGCTAATTAAGGTATAATTCCAGCTCATTGTGATTAACTACCAATGCTTTATTAGAAGGATATTTAATTAGTATTAGCTCTAACACTTTTCCAGTAGAGAAGGACTCATTCCATAATGGCCGGACTTCACCGCTAAGTTTACGAAATCCAATTGCTATTTAACGAGCAAGCTGATTCTCTATGTCGCAGCAAAGGGAAAAAAAGATGCTGGATTATTTGCCAGGATCATTGATTTCATGGCAATTTGAACAGATGCACAAGTAATTGGCAATATACTTGAAGGTCCAGTATTGTTCTCTTGTGAAGTTTTTCTTTGACTATCTTGCTACTTTGTTCCAAGTGCTGTGGTGATGTGGACCACTTCCAATTTTTGGAAGCTGCAATAAATTCATGATAGTTCTCAAAACAGTGTAGATTCAGTTCATAAAGTAAGATTTTCAGTGGCTCCACACTTCCCTGCTGAGAGCTGGATGACATGGGCTGTCCTAAGCAATAGGAATCGATACCCAACTCAGCCAAAAGGGGTGCAGAAATTTTTATCATCACATCATTAATAATAGGGGTGTGCATCGGCTCTGTGTGAACCCAAAAATTATGAGGCAAATGGGGATGACTTGGAGATTTCTGAATCAAGCCACACCATTAACAAGGTATTATAAATTTTGTAAACAGCTTTGGTTCCCCCCCCCTCACAATCAAGTGGTATATCAATTTTTTAAAATAAACAAAACAAAACAAAACAAAATCTATTTGGGATCAGGGGTTCCTGAAGCTTTCAAGTCACTCAGGGGTCTCAGCTGTTCAAAAAACATATGGGTTTTGTTTTGTTTTCCTGAGAAATGAAGCCATGACTGGGGAAACACAGAGCTTGAGAAAGGAGGGGTGTAATAGTGTGGAGGGGGGCAATCTTCTCTTTTGATGGACAGAGCTAGCTTTTAATAACATGGAATTAATTTCCCAGGACACTCCAATCACAGTGATTTGAGAAACAGATCAAAAACTGATTTTCACATGGATCTATGATTTCCCCTATGAAAGTCTATGCAGATATTTCCATTCAACCTCATAAACCTAGAAGACATGGACCCTCCTCAATTACGCTTGGGGTAACAGGGTCTCAAGGATTTTTTTGGGGGGGAGCTGGGTGACATTTTCAGCACCGCAGTCTTTCCTAGTGAATCAAGCTCTTTTCTTCCTCCAGTAGCCCTCCGAAAATTCCTATTTTACCCACTGCAAAACAGTAAAGTCTGCCCTAGCAAACTGCAGCTACCCTTCCGTAATTTGTTAGGCTTCATATCTCTTCATGCCTGCAAACTGCCTCCGATTCTGGCAGAAAATGTAAAGTGATACTTTTTTTAAAAAGTAAAATTTAAAGGTGCCCTGCACAAAAATGCCTGTATTGTATCTGTGTACAACTCGACAGGTTTAAACCACTCTAAACGGGTTGATCTTCCTGAAGATTTCATCCACATCTGTGAAAGAGTGGGGGGGGGGAGTTCTAGACATTTTAAAATTTCCTATGATGGTGCATGGGAAAGGAGAAATGGAGCTTTGTTTTTAACAGCTCTAATTCAGTCCCGAATCACAAGTCAAATTGCAAAGACACAAAGAAGCTCCAGAACAAAGCTTTGGAAGCTTCCCAAGGTGACAGGAAAAAGTCAACTCTTGTGGCAGGTGCACACCCCTAACAATAAATCCCTCTTCCCTTTGCTTTTTGGGGATATGTTCTCACAGTTAGCATGAGATAAACACAGGACCATGCACAATCCAGATTCTGAATTGGTTTTTTTCTTTCTTTTCCTGATGCTTTTTTTTGTCAATTAACTGTAAACTGTACACATAAGGAAGGAAAAGAAAAAAAAAACCACTGTATGCATGTCATTGGCAGATGGGTCTAGAAAGCTGATGGGCTCCTTCAGACAGTGGGCCTTGGATTGCAGCCCACTTTGCAAACACTTAATCTGGCTGCGATATGCCCATTTCATTTTCACTGGCACTCAATCCAAAATCTGTTCCACCTGTTCTGTGCAGATCTTTTGAAAGAACGCATGAAAAATTGATATTAAAATTGCATGTATGCATCATTGCTCATGTTGTTGTAAGGACATTATTCTATGCTTTTCAATGCATTTCCCTACTAAATATGCATTTTATATACATTTTAACAACAACAACAAAACCAATTCTGTGTGCACTTTTTGCACAATGAAATGACATTGCAAAACCCTGAAAAGTGTGTGATCTGCCCAAGAGCTTCGTTCCAATCAGCAAGCAAGTTCAGCACCATCAATTGTGGCCATTCTCCTGTGAAAAGCGGATCAAAAGAATTGCTCTTCCATTTCTCCGCACACTTCCTTCTCATGCTCCAGACTTGCATGGAAAGTAAGAGAAAATGTTGAAAGGGCAGCCAAAATCATAACAAAGGGAAGAAGAGGAGAGGCTTTTTGACAAAAATGAGGGAGAAAATTAAATTGAAAAGACTTGTTTTGGTTTAACTCTAATCCCAATAGTTTCTACTGCAGGGTCTTCAGGTTAGCATCAGTCACTTAAGTTTCATTGATTCCGTTGGTCTCAGTAAACACAATTGACTGATGAATTGATTTCTATTAAGTTTTTGCAATTCTGAGAACCTGTCTTTTGGACAGATTGATTTCAAAGGCCAGAAGGGAGCAATATTGGACTGCAGGCAGCATTAAACATCAGAGACCTTCACCCAGAGATTCTTTTGCCTGAATTGACTAACCCATATGGCTACAAGATAGGAACGCTTCTCTCCATTCTCTGGGTAAGGGTGGGATATTGTATTACATATCTGTACGTTATATATATGTGTGTGTGTGTGTGCACGCATTGTAAGAATTTAATTAATAAAATTAAAGGTGGATAAAGAAAGGTTGTTCTCCCTCTATCACTAGAAAGTTGAAAGATTAAGGGTAGACTAAAGAAAGTCCTTCTTCACAAAAGCACATAGATAAAACTATCCAATTTGTTCCTGCAAGAAGTAGTGAGCGTCACCAAATTGGATGGCTAATAATAATAATAATAATAATAATAATAATAATAATAATAAATTATTTCTACCCTGCCCATCTGGCTGAGTTTCCCCAGCCACTCTGTATGGCTTCCAACAAAAGATTAAAAATACATTAAAACATCAGCCATTAAAAAACTTCCCTAAACAGGGCTGCTTTCAGATGTCTTCTAAATGTCATGTAGTTAGGGTAAAGCTAACAATTGCCACTAGCCACAATGTCAGGCATGGAGAGTCCTCTCCTCCTTCGGTAGCATCAAAGGAATGAATAACAAGCAGTTTGTATTTTATAGTCCTTTTTGTTCAGTCATCTGGTTGCAAGACAAGAAACCATGTCTCCACACAAAGAGAGACGTTGGCTACTCTGAGCTCCTCCTCTTCTGTCCCCGACAACATCCTAAGCACCAATGGGAAGTCCCAGGAGTCCCACCCCTCTGCCTTCTCTGTTCTAGAACGTGGAGGGACCGACTGGCCCGTGGAGATGGAGGATCCTCCATACTCTCCAGGGAGGTCTCTGCCAGCTGCGCTCTCACCCCCCTTCCTCCTCCCCTATCTCGTAACTAGGCAATTCTTCCTCATACGGTATAGCATCTCTCTCTCTCCTCCAGAAACTGCTGTAGAAGGGGGACGAAGCTTGCCCCTCCTCCTCCTCTTCGGAGAGAAGCTGATTAGACTGAGTGCACACTTCCCAGTCTTCCTGTTCCAACCAGTCCCTGACACACAATGACTATGTTCTGCCTTCACTGTTGGAGGCAGCCTGAATGTCAGTTGCTGGGAATCTCAAGCTATGGTCAAAGAATCACAGAAATGTAGAGTTAGAAGGGACCCTGGGGGGTCATCCATGCTGTTGAGTGCGTTGAGTGCTATTGTACACAGGTCCTTCTTTTGGGCTTACCCTAGGCATCTGGTTCACTACTGTGAGAACAGTAGTCTAATTAGACACTGGTCTAATTCAACATACTTTTTAATGTTTTTATAGTCTTATCTACATACACACATAGACCGAATAAAGTAACGATGCGGCAAATCTAAGGAAGTTTCCAAATTGCTTCTACATTATCAGCACCTTTTGGTATCAAGAGTTTTCTATACTGGTGGCAGATAGAATCATAGAATTGTAGTGTTGGAAGGAGCCTCAATGGTCATCTGGTCCAACCCCCTGCAATGCAGGAATCAACTTTAAGTGACCACAAAACTATTTGTTTATCTTAAGAGTTAATAGTCATTGAAATTGGCTCAAATTCATTCTATTCACACATTAGGCCATTTATCACTGTTCAACGGTCAATAGCCAATGGTAATATATATCTATACAAATCAGCTATTTAGCTGGCCTATTTAGTTTTCCATGACCACACAATTATCAGTTATTCAAGGTTTTCCAACAGACATTCAGGAAGTGTGAAGGAAGATCTGGTTAGATGCCATGATCACTTTCATGGCTCTCCTGTATTTGGAGAAGTTGGTTCACTAGCCAGTTCTGGCCTCCGCCCCCTGCCCCCCCCCCCCAGTTCATTGACTACCCTACCTTCTCTCTTCCCTGCCCCCAATCCACATGGGAACAGGGTCTCAAAAGTATGGTATGCAAATACCACTTTTCTACCATTCATATGCCATGTCTGCTATAGTATAAAATTTGCAGTTGTATTACAGATGCTAAGTGGATTTCATCATACTAGAAGCATCAAGCATGAGTCACAGGTGGGAGAGACACCTAATAGGCAGGGGATGCAAGAGAGAAAGATACAATGGTGGTGGTCAGTGAAAGATAAAATGTTTTCTATTTGCCACCTGCGTCACCTTCATTAAGGCTTTGTGTAGGCATCATGGCAACAGAGTACAAAGAGCCTTTTCCGCTAACTGTTTCTTTCTTCCCATTGCTGAGCTTAGTGCTGTACAGCTACATCTCTCTCTCTCTCTCTCTCTCTCTCTCTCTCTCCCTCCCTCCCTCCCTCTCTCTCTCTCTCTCTCAGTATCAGAATAATACAGCTCAGACAAATATGCCTAGGCCTGCCTACATTAGGCATAAAAACTTTGTGAAGACAGCCAAAGCAATATGCACTCAAAAGAATCAGAAATATCGGCAAGCCCTCCACATTCTGCTAGTATGCTTCAGTAAACCTGCCTTCAAGTGAGGATAGCAGCAGGGATGAAAAGGCCAACAATGCAAAACAGACTGAGTTCCCGGGGTACTTCTAATGAGTTTTTGAAATGCTATGTGTCAGTGACTAGTAACTCTAGGATAAACGGCAAATAGTTTTGTGGTAGCTTAAACAAATTAACGTTTAAAGTTTTCAAGGTACCAATAGACTATATGTAGTTGTTTTGTTGTATTTGAGCAATTATATCCCGTCCTCCTTATGTAAATACTAGGAGTGTGCATCGGCTCTGTGTGTACTGCAAGTAGTGAGTTGAATTGGGTGATCTGGGGTAGTCCTTAACATTACTCAGCTGAAAAACAGTGGATAGTTCTGCCTGAAATTTGGCAGGTTTAATCCACTGTGGAGTGGCTCCTTTGCCTGCAAATTTGCCTGTGAACAACAGTGTTCTCCTGGCAAAGTTATGTTGTGGGAGTTCAGGACACTGGCACCACCAACCCAGAGCCCCCTGACTCATCCCATCATTGCCCTGGTGAACACAGCGCCATCACCTCTGAGGGTGCTGCTGCTGTGTCCTCCGTCCTCCCCCAATCCACTCCTGCTATCAACAGCAAATGCAGCACTTCTGCATATCCTGCCCTCAATATTCTGTAACTGCCACCTTGGCATAAGCACCCTTTGATTCACATCAGGATGGCTGAAGAAGGGTAGAAGCTGAAAATGTTTGCTTTGACTTTAATACCTCTGTTTTGTTAGTCACAGCAATATATATGCAATTTTAGTAACTGCATCCTTTCGCTATCCAGATCACACTTCTCTGAATTGCTGTTTGCTGCTTTAAAAAATAATATAATTGCAAGCACAGCAAAGCACAACTGATCATGCCAGAATATTTCTAGCTCATTTCTGCTACAGGCTCTGATTTCTCTTCATCAGCCAAATAGGAGGAACTGTGATCATTTGGATAATCAGTTGGGCTTACATTAGGGAGACCTGTGCCATGGACTCACTCCGGTTTTTTGGGCAGTTCAGGACTTCTTGCTTCAGGTCCCCACCTGTAAAATGGTGACCTATTTTATTGCATAATTTGCTGAATGAATGAACACACTAAAGCACCATAGATGGAGGATTTCTGGGCAAGAAACAAGGCTAAGGACGTTCCCACAGTTTCTCTTAATTGCTTTCACCGCTTCATTGCTCAGCAACCTCTGCCTTGAAACTTCCTTAGATCCACTGGGCTTAGCTGCCTGCTACACTTTAAAGAAATGGCACATATAACCTGGATGTTTTATTCAACCGTTGACTGGAATTTCACCTTCACATTTAATACAGGGAAAATAGAATCTCTGGTACTTTGGCCACATCAGTTAGCACTCCTGTGATGAATGCTTGACAATGTAGATCTGGATGCATATCTTTTTGCTATATTCAAATTAGATTGATATTAAAACACAAGTTGTTGTTTTTAATCAGTTTGAAAACTGAGGACATGGGGGAGAAGAAACTTGCCAAATTACAGGCAAGTATGCCCAGGGGCTATTGTGATAGGTGATTTTACATTTAAAAAACAAAATAACTAGAAAAGGGAATTTTTGTTCACATTGCCCCCACTTCCTGGAAGTACTTTCCATGTAGAAGGAAAGAGGAAGGGAGGAACAGAAAGAAAGAAAGAAAGAAAGAAAGAAAGAAAGAAAGAAAGAAAGAAAGGTTTGTTTGTTAAGGGAAAGCATGATTGCAAAAGAATCATGCTACCTTTTTAGTCTAGCTGTGCTGTTTAGATCATGCTTTCACACCCAAAGCTCAGAGAAGTATGATTTTAGTGAACTAGGAAAATAATTCACTGTGATTCTGCTTGGGATCATTTGCTTGGGATCATTTGGGCTATTCCCCCAAAAAAGTATACACAAACTTTTTTTTTTAGCACGGCAGTCCAACACTGTTACTGTTCCAGAAAGCAAATGAAAGCAATTTCTTTCTGACTTTATTATGTCACCCACACAAATACACAGAGTCAGGAATCCACTAATTTGTGCTCAGACAGGCAGCAAAACAGCAACCTTATTCTCCCCAAGCTGTATATCCCAGAAAAAGGAAAATATTTACAACACCACAGATATCTATTAAGTGATTAAAATGCTACCATTTCCGATTGTCCTGAGCTAGATAGAAAGAGGGAGGAAAAACTCCATTTTATAAGCCAGGAGGAAAGCACAGAGCAATTTATTTTGAGCAAACAGATAGAAGTTGGAAAGCTAACACATTTTTTGTTACCTGTTGTTTAAAAAACAAGGGTAAGGACAGATCACAGCAGCTCCACATGCTCATTGAAATGGTGATCTGCATTTTTAAAATTTCCTTAAATGCTGTGATCACCACACAAATGTTTATAAGCCTTTTGTCTCTCTTGTTTCTACCTCTATCAGATCATCCCGCCTGCCCCCGGACTTAGTAGATGGCACTCACAATTTCCCCTCCACCCAGGCCTTTAGGCTCTCTTAAATGGCTATTCCAAACATGCCAGCATGTTAGATCCCTGTCTTCCTAACTTTTCATAAAGTCATTCCTTAGATGTATGCGGGAAGGAGGAGTGGGGGGCATTGCGAATGGAGGCTGGCCCAAGTCTTTTGCAGTGGAAGAGGAAGAAAGAAGTGTTCTTGTCTTGCAGCAAAATATGGAGCCAGGGAAAGGCTTAAGAAGCCTCTGATCTCTGAGTAAAGATCCAGAGTGAAGATTTTACAGCTACTTTGGGCTTGTTGGAAAAGCCAGTGAGAGACCAGGCCACTGACTTTAGGCACTATGTTGTGTTTAACCACTATTAGCTTTGCAGGCCAATTCTGTCACAGTATCCCTCTTCTGGGCTATTTTCCTCCCATCAGTTGAGTAGGAAGGTAGTGGAGGGAAGGGATGTGAGGAGACTCAGAACTTACAGGGTTAAACAGTTCTGTGTGACGTCTCACATTCTGAGGCGTGGTTTGGTTCACATACGGGAATCTTTCTTTGTGTGTGAGTTTCCTTTCGTTTTTGGCTGAGAGACGAAAGAATGTCCGCTCTCTCGCCGGGCTGATTTATGATGTTTTTCTTCTCATTAAAGGCTGTTAGAGATTAGCAAGAAGCCTGCGTTCAGTCTGATTTATTATCCACACACAAGGCAACACTTTCTACCGCTGCAGAACTCTGCTAAGAACTCTGCTAAGAGTTCAAGTTTTTCCTATCGGCACAAGCGTCCATCAGCACAGGGGAAGTGTGCCGGGTGCCATCTTATCTCAGCAAGGGATGCTGAAATCTCATCTCCCCACAATCTCCCCCCACTGCTCAGCTGATGAGGAAATTAGTTGTAAAGTGAAAAGACGGGGCTTCAGAGAGGGGAAGAGGCAGATGGGCCAGAGGTTCCCCACTACTATCATAATGAAATTCAGAAGCCCCGCTCAATGTCCTCACCATATTTTTTTTTGTCAAACCACAAATTTGTTGTTGTTTAGTCGTTTAGTCGTGTCCGACTCTTCATGACCCCATGGACCAGAGCACGCCAGGCACTCCTGTCTTCCACTGCCTCCCGCAGTTTGGTCAAACTCATGCTGGTAGCTTCGAAAACACTGTCCAACCATCTTGTCCTCTGTCGTCCCCTTCTCCTTGTGCCCTCCATCTTTCCCAACATCAGGGTCTTTTCCAGGGAGTCTTCTCTTCTCATGAGGTGGCCAAAGTATTGGAGCCTCAGCTTCACGATCTGTGCTTCCAGTGAGCACTCAGGGCTGGTTTCCTTCAGAATGGACAGGTTTGATCTTCTTGCAGTCCATGGGACTCTCAAGAGTCTCCTCCAGCACCAGAATTCAAAAGCATCAATTCTTCAGCGATCGGCCTTCTTTATGGTCCAGCTCTCACTTCCATATATCACTACTGGGAAAACCATGGTTTTAACTATACGGACCTTTGTTGGCAAGGTGATGTCTTTGCTTTTTAAGATGCTGTCTAGGTTTGCCACAAATTACCCCCTACAAAATGAATGGTAATGGAGCCATTTCAAAAAGTGCTTCCAGGGCCATGAGGCAGACTGAATAAGCTACATCGGGCAGCAGAATTCTGTAGTGCAGCATCCCTGTAGGTACCCTGCCCACCCCTGCTGCCATCAGGGCCGTCTTTAGCATATGCATCGCTGGGGTGCAAAGATCCACCCAGCGCCCCCAATTTTAGTTTAACCACCCCCAGATTTCTTGGGGGGGCAACTAAAGGTTGTTGAGTTTTTGGGGGGGAGGGGGAACAACTATGCACTGGAAATAACTGTTTTTGTTTCCTGACTCGTCAGGAATATTTGACGCTACAGAGTAACAGAGCAAAGGAGGAGAGGGGTGGAGACTTTCGGCCACCCCTTGAGTGCTTCACAACCTCCTTGAGTGTTTTTGCCTGCCTGAGATGTTTCCTTAAACTCTGATCATGACTCCTGAGTGGATGGAGGATAAAAGGGGTGTGCGAGTCTGTGTAGAAATTGGCCTACAAAGGTGAAATTTACAGTTGTTGTCCTATCCACTTTTGCCACTGGGCCCATCCACCAGTGACCCTCAGAAGCTTACCCAGAAAGGAACAAAGCCTTCAGGTTGAAAAAGTTGCCCCAGCTCTAAGACATTTACATTCATAACCTCTGCCTTTTCGTGATAGTCACAGCAGGGTCTTATAGGAAAAATGTTAGCTCTTTGCATTTGAAGATGCTTAAATAAACTTGTCCTTTAAAGTCAATTGTAAGATGTTTGAAATAATTATTCTGCCTTTAAAAAATAATAATAACCAAGTGCTGCCATTCTGCCTTGAAGCATCATGGCTAGAGGTTTTACAGAGTCCCAGTTCTAGAATTACACAAACCACTGCTGCCTCTCTCCTATCCTCCAATTAGATCATAAATTCTGCTTTAAGTTAGCTATATATACCCCCCCACAGAAATATACCCACGGTCCCGTGGAGAATCCCAAAGAGAAATTCTGGGACATTATTTGCTGCTGGAATATATTACAGCTCTGGATTAATTAGCTACATAAAGTATAGTCAACATCATTATAGGGCAGGAGAGGGACTGCATAAGCAACACAGCAGGGAAAGAGAGAACATCCAAAGTGTTGTTTTTCAATAGAGATGAGGAACCTGAGTCAAAAAGAGATCCTTCCTTTAGCGGCAGCAGAGGCCAGAATCACTAAAAAGAAAATTTGATGTTCAACTATAAAAAAACAAATCAATGGCTAAGCAATGGGGCAGAGCAAGCCTAACCAGGTACCAGATCACAGGGCAGATATGCTAGTGTATATCCTGTGTAAGGACCAAAGCAGAATTATACCACTTTAAATGGTCATGCCTTCCCCAATGAATCCTGGGAACTGTAGTTTGTGTAGCATGCTGAGAGTTGTTAAGAAACCCCCTACAGTGGTACCTCAGGTTAAGTACTTAATTCATTCCAGAGGTCCGTACTTAACCTGAAACTGTTCTTAACCTGAAGCACCACTTTAGCTAATGGGGCCTCCTGCTATGTTACTATGAACTTGTTTTCGTAGTGTTGATTTGAACTTTATCCCTGTTTTCCCTGTTGTAAGCCTCCACTGAGGGCTAGTAGTTTTTTTACCTTTCCCCACCAACACATGTGGGTGTTAGGCTTGCACGGTAATTCAGATCAAAAAGGATAGTATTTTGGATCCATTTATACCATGCATAGATTAAATTTATGAGCAAGTAGATTTCAAAGTTTTATCTGTTGTTGTTGTTGTTGTTGTTGTTGTTGTTGTTGTTGTTGTTGTTTTGTATTTGTTTTATGCTGTACACTGCACCCTATCCTCCCTCTTTCTTTCCCAGTAGGTACACCTCTCCTTTCCCTGAGGTGGAAGAAACCACTTGCCTTGGAAAAGGGGAGGGTAGCCAGCAACAGAAGGCCTCAGCCAGGCTCATCAGACTGCTTTTCTAGGAATAAGTGGGACATAGGTTATTGCCCTTTCCCCCTGGGAATAATGAAGCTTGCCTACAACCCCCTTGATCTGCACGGTCACAAATCATAATGGTCCTCATGTGCAGATGAGGACATTGGGGGCAGGAATCCATTGCCCTTTCCAGTGAATGCCTGAAGGGGACTGTTTAAAGAAAAACAAACCAGCATCAAACAAAATTGAAGAAGCCGAGGCAGTTTTCCAGTCCCTGTGCTTCAATAATTTCTCTTGGGAAGCACGCTTTGTGCTTTTACGATATCTATTATTTTCCATGCTCTGACAATTTGCTACAAGGCATGAAATAAAGACAGTATATACTTCTCAGAATTTCCCTATCTTTAAGGAGCAATTGCGCCACACATGCAGAAGACAAAGCTATGTGTAATTAGTGTGATGTTTACAGGTACTTAGCAAGAATAAAAGCCCTGTGGTTGGCCAGCTGACTATGCAGTTGTGAGAAAAGACGTGGTTTTATTCTTAGAGAGCCTAATTTAAATCAATAGGAGTAAATTGGCCAAAAGTCATGCACATTCTCTTAACTAGCTTATCGGAATAGGGGAGAAATTTGATGGGGTTTGCATTTAAAGGTGAATCTAATTAATTTGCACTTTCTGAAGCAATATGAGAACCAAAATACAGTCCTCCTTCAAAATCTGCACTTCTCTAAATGTGTTTAGTAGGAGAAATTTGCACTAAAATGCTGCCAAATTTAATGAGAATTTTGTTTTTAAAAATTGAAAATTGCTGCAGAAATGTGGAGAACTGAAATAAAGACTGGGGGAAATGAGAAACCAGGAGATCTGAAATTAATAGATGCACACATTCATGCTGACTTACAAACTGAGCTATAGGTGAGTTTCCCCTGCACACCATTTCTTTTCAATGAGAGATGCCTTCTAGACTTTTGTCATGTGGCAGTAATGTTTTTCTTGTCTTCTTGTGTTTAGTTTTCAGAACAGAAATGGTTCTGGCAAACAAGTGGGTTTCAACCATTTCTTAAGGTGGAGGAAAGGAAGGTGAGAGAAAAGGAGCTGACTTGCGCAAGCCATTTAATCTCAGTTGGAGCCATTGCTTCAGGAGCTCAAAGCAAAGGTATGGATAGGGAAAATGAATTCTTCCACATGTGAAGTTCAAGCAGAGTACATGGCATTGATATTACATGAAAATGCCCCTGCTTAGTTCAGCCTTTCATATCTTATCTCATTCTTCAGCCCAAAGACAGTCACAGCAGTTAACAGTAATTTAAAACAGGATAAACACACGTGTGTGTGTGTGTGCGCGCGCGCACACACACACACACACACACACACACACACACACAGTAAAGAACAAACAGAGCTGCCCAAAATAAAATGTGTCCACTGTGATGTTAAGTTAGATCAACAGTCTAAAAACATTAACAACAACAACATTGTTTATACCCCAGCCACTCTGGGTGGCTCCCAACAGAATACTAAAAACAAGATAAAAGATCAAACATTAAAAACTTCCCTAAACAGGGCTGCTTTCAGATGTCTTCTAAAAGTCAGATAGTTGTTTATTTCCTTGACATCTGAAGGGAGGGCGTTCTGCCTGGTTCCCTGTAACCTCACTTCTTGCAGTGAAGGAACTGCCAGAAGGCCCTCGGAGCTGGACCTCAGTGTCCAGGCACAGTGATGGAGACGCTCCTTCAGGTATACTGGGCCGAGGCCATTTAGGGCTTTAAAGGTCAGCACCAACATTTTGAATTGTGCTCGGAAACATAATGGGAACCAAAGTAGGTCTTTCAGTACCAGTGTTATAAGGTCTCGGCAGCTGCTCCCAGTCACCAGTCTAGCTGCCGCATTTTGGATTAGTTATAGTTTCCGAGTCACCTTCAAAGGTAGCCCAATGCTGAGTGCATTGCAGTAGCCCAAGTGGGAGATAACCAGAGCATGCACCACTCTGGTGAGACAGTCTGTGGGCAGGTAGGGTCCCAGCCTGTGTAAGTAAAAACATTTTCATCTGCCTGTGAAAACATATCAGACTCAGTGTCAGGTGACCCTCCCCGAGTGATCATTCCCAAGTCAGAGTGTCAAAACAGAAAAGACCCTGTCTTAGGTGTGCATCAATCCTCAAGGTGTGCATGGCTTCAAGATTGATTTTAATGTCCAAAGAGGTTATTGTGGGAGGATATGGCCTTTAAAGTACCTTAGTACCAAATTGCTAGAGATGTATGAAATCTGATACTTGTTGCTTAAATAAATGCCTTGCATTCTCCCTTGATGTCCCTACAGTTGAACAATAAGACGTTGAACAACAACAGGCCCAGGACAGAACCATGGGGTGCCCCACTTGTCCCCCCCCCCGGATAATGGGAAACCATTAGTGAGCACTCTTTGGGTTCTTTACACCCTGACTCTGTAGAAGGCGGCTTCCTAGGTTCCTAATAATATTTCCTCCACCCAAATATGAAACATGTACAAAATAAATGTAGCCCGTTCAATTCTGTTCTTTTGCAATATCTCCTACACAATGTAATATGTGGAATTCCTTATATTGACACAAGGGAGGGAGCCAGTGGCCCTTTTCGTTGGCTTTTAATATTCACAACATGAATAAGTTAAAACATCCAGCTCGCACATGACAATAGTGAGTCATTTGAAGTTTAAACAAAACAGACTTTCCATGGAGTAGCTTCTCCATACTGAAAGGGCCAGGGAGGGCTTTGTCATTTGGGTGCTGCGCGGCTAAGAGAGGAAATGTGGCAGCTGTTGTGGGTAAGCACCATGGCGTTACTCATCCTGAATGTGCCTCCAGTGAGAATGTAGAGCCTTTGATGAGTTAGATAAACAATTAGTGACAGAGCTAAAACAGAGCATCACCAAGTGGCTTAAAGAGTTGCTAGAGATAATTTTCTTAACATCCAGAAAACTTCCTGTGATATGTTCACTTCCACAAGTATAACTCCCATGTCTTTGCAGCTGATTAACACCAAAGTTACAGGGAACACAGCCAGCCTTTTGTAAGTAAGATTCTCAAGGCAGAGTTTGGAACTATGACTCTAATGCACAAATCTTCAAAAACATGATTTGCTACGTTAAAAAGAGATTTTCCAAATAATTGGATGTTGCACACCCATTACAAAGCAAAAGTAGTGTTACACACTGCCAGTTTGATAGTGACCAACATATAGCAGCCAACGCCTCCCCGCCCCCCGAAACATCTTCTGCCTATAGACCACACTCCACTTAATAGTACCCCCTTATCCATGCATTCTATGTTTGTAATCTAGCTGGATTCAGATGGTATACTGAAGTGATCTTGGCTTGCATTTATATCCCACTTTTCCTCCAAGGAGCTCAAGGTGGCATACATAGTTTTCTTCCTCTCATTTTATCCTCACAACCACCCTGTGGGGTAGATTCAGGTAAGAGGAGGTAACTGGCCCAGGGTGACCCAGTAGGCTTCATGGCTGAGTGGCGATTTGAATCCTGGACTCGTAGGTCCTAGTCCAAAACTCTACTTTTGAGAGCCAGTGTGGTGTAGTGGTTGAGAGCGGTAGTCTTGTAATCTGGGGAACCGGGTTCGCGTCTCCGCTCCTCCACATGCAGCTGCTGGGTGACCTTGGGCCAGTCACACTTCTTTGAAGTCTCTCAGTCCCACTCACCTCACAGAGTGTTTGTTGTGGGGGAGGAAGGGAAAGGAGAATGTTAGGCGCTTTGAGACTCCTTTTAAAGGGAGTGAAAGGCGGGATATCAAATCCAAACTCTTCTTCTTCTTCTAACCACTACATCACACCACTATCAGAACTCACATCTTATTGGATTAATTTTGAAAGCTGAGCTGAGCAAGGAGATGTTGAGCCATGTACCTGCTGCACATGATAGACGTGGCAGAACTCTCGTGGACTAGGCACCATAGCATCTTCCTGTGCTGCAGTCCCCATCTCATTTGCCATTTCCACCATTCATTTGAACTCACTCTGTGGCATCATGATTTCACAGTGACATCCTAGCATTCTGTTAATAACATAGCACATTGCTATGACAACAGCAGCAGTCACATTTTTAGGTCTTAGCGGTACACAAAAAATGTTTATATAGCTAAAGGTCACTGTGAATGAAAAAAAAAATCCAATATGGAAATCATTGCCAGATACGAAATTTCCACATCTGTCTCTGAACAAGCTGTTTCATCTCATGCTACATAAGAGCCTTTTCATTGACTTGGACATATTCCATAGAACATGCTTTCTTCATCAGGTTACTAAGTCACATTTGAAAGTTTTTGAGTTTTGAGAGATGGGTTAATAGAACTGGGTTGTGTGTGTGAGGGTGTTTAGGACCCTTTCACAAGCTCGCTCATGCTGATCCATTTCTCATTGCATTCTATTGCATCAATTGCCCAATTCATACATTCAAAAGACTGCAGGAAGGCTTAAACTGGAGAGGAAGACATTGGTTGAGTATTCAATGCCCCTTCACATTTTGGGCATGCCCACTCCACCCCAACCTTCCCATTTTGAGCAGGTCTGCAGCAGCCCCCCTTATAATGCAAGGTTAATAATCATGGGGAGACTTTTAATGTACTTCGAAACATTCATCAAACCTTCACACTCTATGTGGGAATGTTGTGGGTAGAACAGGCACAGCTGGATGTGTAAAAACTCTCCCTACCCAGTTTAAGTCATCACATGTTTTTTGGATGCATGGACGGGGCTCATTTCTACTTGGCATTATAGATCAAATGAACTCTTGCAGATTTCAGCTTTTCCCAATCCTCTTTCAGTCTGAGACACTGTAAAACTTACATTTACAGCAACCCTATTGTTATTCTGATTTGCCTTACACAGTGGAGCATCATCAAGAGATGTCACAAATAAAACACACCACAGAAATTTGTAGTCAAGCAATAGCTGCAGGAGTTCCCTGATGTAATTGACAAAGGGGATCATAATTCCACTAATGATTGGGGTGTCTGTTTCCTCAAAGTAACAATCCTGATGACAATTGGCATGTATTGGCAGAACATGTCATAACAATGCTCACATTTAGGACCCATCAACATCTCTGTCTGGGCAGTAACGTTTGGATTCTGTTAATAAGTTTAAGATCTTGGGGGAGTAGAGCCCTTTCTTGGGGACTTCTTTCTGCCTGTAGAACAGGAATGTGGAACCAGAGCCTCTCCAGATGTTACCAGACTCCAACTCCTATCAGCCCCAGCCACCATCAGGGGTGGTGGGAGTTAAAGACAGCAATATCTGGTTGGCCACAGGTTCCTCATCTTTCATTAAAGGGTTTTTTTAAAAGCCTACTTCTTCTACCTGCCCGGATACTACGGTTAATTGTGCAGCTTCAGAACAGTCTTTCAGGCCATTCCATTTCCTCACATTTCTTTTTAACCAACAGTTCTTCTGTCTGATGTTCAAAGTTTAACCTCTTGAAGTTTAATTGTTCAGGGCAGTCTGTGACCCTCAAAAAGGAGTACAGAAGAAGATGGCATACTGCACTGGAACTGCTGCAGGTCAGCTGTTTGCAAAGCTAGAAACTAGGGGAGTTCTCTTCACACCACCCACATGCCACAGACCATGCTCAGCAGGTAGACTCTGCAGCTAGCTAATTGGGCTCATGTTGAGGAAGACAGAGAGTGAGTATGAACTAGTAGCAGAGGCACAAGTAGACATACAGTTGCAACCTTAAATCTCAGTCAGAGGGTAGTGAAGAACTTTCCCCGTTCCATCCACAAACCTTTCTGACTTGTCAAAAAGGGATATGCCAATCTGAATACCAGTTGTTGAGCATCATGAGCAGGAGAATGCAATTGCTAGCAGGCTTCCCATAGGCATCCAATTAGCCAGTGAGAATAGGATGCTGGGCGGTTGCTGTTGTTGTTTATTTAATTTATGTACAGCTCTATACCTCGGGGTCTCTCTAGATGTGCTTTTGGTCCCATCTTGTGATATGACAGGGACGCGGGTGGCGCTGTGGGTTAAACCACAGAGCCTAGGACTTGCCGATCAGAAGGTCGGTGGTTCGAATCCCCACAACGGGGTGAGCTCCCATTGCTTGGTCCCTGCTACTGCCAACCTAGCAGTTCGAAAGCATGTCAAAGTGCAAGTAGATAAATAGGTACTGCTCCGGTGGGAAGGTAAACGGCATTTCCGTGCGCTGCTCTGGTTCGCCAGAAGCGGCTTAGTCATGCTGTCTACATGACTCGGAAGTTGTCTGTGGACAAATGCCGGCTCCCTTGGCCAATAAAGCGAGATGAGCTCCGCAACCCCAGAGTCGGTCACGACTGGACCTAATGGTCAGGGGTCCCTTTACCTTTACCTATGATATGACATGCTTGGGACATTTCTCCACCATTCAGTTTTCACAAGGACAATACAGTCATACCTCGAAAGTCAAACAGAATCCATTCCAGAAGTCTGTTCAACTTCCAGAACGTTCAACTTCCAAAGCATGGCTCCTGCACCCAATTGGAAGCCCCGTCATACGTTTGGCTTCCAAAAGAACGTTCAAAAACCGGAACACTCACTTCCGGTTTTCGATCATTCAGGAGCCAAAACATCTGATTCCCAATTGGGAGAATTAGCTCACACATTAGTTTACAAAGCTACAATTTACACTCTAGTGTTAAGGATGTGCCATCCTCCAAAATGCTGAGCACCTTTCAGTTTCCTTCAGTTGACTTTGTGACATATAGTTATCATCATCATCGTATTGTAGGCTGAAAGTGGCATCTTAAAAGAGCACTTCTTCCTATGTGTGTCCTTCCCGCTTTTTGGTTCTTGTTGCCCTGTTAAGGTTGCCGGTCCAAATGCCTCACTTCTCATTGACTGCTTCTTTCCTGCCATTTGTATACAACCCTTTCAGCTACAGCTGGGGCTGATGGGAGTTGTAGTCCAAAGCATCTGGAAGGCACTGGTTGGTAAAGAGTATACCTATAGGTTCTATGTTAGGGTGGGAAATCATTGGCCCACCAATGTTGCCGGACCACAGTTCCTATCACCCCCAAATTTAACTGTAGATTCTCTTAGAGCCTCGAATGCATAAAGGTTTATTCATTCTCAATAGCCCCCTCTTGGAACATTTCCCTGTTTTCTCTACTGTTTCCTTATATTTCTCCACTTTTCATCTTCCCAGTTGCTAAGTCTACCACTTAAGAGCAGTCTATTTAGGGATGGACAAATCAGCCTATTTCTAGTCTGTGCCACCTGCACATGCATTCACTCATACATTTATTCCATCTCATTTCTGAATTATTCTGTGATTTTTTTTTATAAACTAACCTGCATTTTTTTGTATCTTTAATGTATTTTATCTCAAAATATGCATGGTGTTTTTTTATTTTTAAAAATGCTCGTTTTAAGCTGCACACCCTACCCCATTTTAGCTATGCTGAGAGCCATATTTTATGCATTCAGGGACAGTTGAGAAGGGTCAAAGCTGGTGGATAATTAAATTCTAATCCACATATTAGTTCTGGAGTTGTGGATCATGTTAGATTATATCAGACTCTGCAGCTGCTGAATTCCTTGTGTATTCCTAGTTCCAGAGCTTTTTTTCTTAAAAAAAAATGTTTAGGGGTACTCTCATTTTGACTCAATAAAATCACCATTTTCTAGTTCAAATTGGGGAAAATAAATACAGTAGATGGACAAAAGTACAAAGAACATGCATTACACCAGGAAAGGAAATGAGGCCGCCATCAGAGGTGGTAACAACGAAACTTAACAATCATCATGCTAGAGAAGAAACTACGGTATTTTTTTTTACAATTTTTAGTTTCTTCTCCTGTTAGATTCACAAAATGTTTAGGGGTATGCGTACCCCTGCATCCCCCCAGAAAAAAGCACTGCCTAGTTCCTTACCCTTAACAAAAGCATCTACCACTGGGACTTCTTGATGCTTTGCCTCTCTACCTCTTGAGACTGTTTACCTTTTCAACCAGCTCAACACTGCTGTACCAAGGACCTGCATCAAATTTCCATCCCAGTCAAACTGACCCCTTGTCACACAGAAGGCAAATATTCTGCCCCAAGTACTGGGAATGTTCAAAAACATTCATGAAAGTTCATGAAAAGCCTGTGCCATCACACCAGTTCACCCAATTGGTGCCAGAGGCATCAACATAATACACATAACTGAATGTGTGTTTTGCATTCAAAAGATCCCATATTCAATCTCTGGCATATCTAGGGAGAGCTGGGATAGAATTATGTCTGAAACCTTGGAGAGCTGTTGTAGCTTGTGTAGGTGGCACTGAGATAGATGGGCCTGTGGTCTTATTCAGTGTGAGACAGCTTTATATGCACCAATACAGATACAAATATATTGCAAATTTGCAGTATCTTAAATCCTCAATCTCCCCATTAGGATAAAAATAAAATCTAAATAACAGTCCAATCCTATCCAATTTTATTTGGAAATATATTCCACAGAGTTCAGTGGGACTTCCTAGTAAAAATATTTAGTGTTGCGGGCTATTTATATATAATAAAATCTAATCTTAAGTAATCCAGTCAGCCCACAATTGCTTAAATATGCTTGAGACATGGAACATTTTTTATATTTTACAGATTATCCTCCCCAGGCTGTAAAATATATATGAAAAATATAAATCTCAGGAAATATCCAATATACATTTTCATAGTGTGAATGTAACCATTACGCAGACTGAGATGCTGCAGTAATTCTTAATTTGCAGACTTGCTTTTATCACCCTTAATAAGAAATACAGCAAAATAAAATGAGGCTGAGTCTGTCATAAATCCAACAGTTGCAAAGTGTTTCTCGGATCCACATTTCAGGAGCAAAAGAAGAATTTCTTCATTCTAACATAGTTCCAGCCAGCAGGATCATGAAGTCTTGGGCCAGATTTGTCAACGTCCTTCACCTTCAGTAGGATTGCAATTTGCATATGCTATTCAATATATCCCAGCCCACATGGGGACATTCTAGCCAGGAATTGCAAGGTTCCAATTACAGAAGCTGGACTAGGGCAGAGGACCTCAAACTTCATTCATGTAGTCCATGGCATGTTTGCATTAAATATCCATACTGATTTTAACTTGTATTTTTATTGCTCTTTCTATACTGTAGTTCATTGTTATTATAATCTGAATTCTGTAAAATGCTAAGTGTTATACAATGTAAGAAATTAAAGAAGCAAGAAAAATACAATAAAAACCGCACAGCATCCAGCACAGTGCATAACAATTGCTAAAACAATATTAAGTGGTTCACAAAAACCTTCAGAGATTGTCAGTAATGCCCAGTGGGAGAAATTTGGGAACCACTGGACTAGGAAACTGCATTCTTGGTAGGAAGTTGTGTCTCAGGGTCCACTGGAAAGATAAGTTGGTGTACTGTTTCAGTGGATCTGATCCCTGTACTTCAGCCATCATTAGTGTACATTAGCTCCTCCATGATGGTCCTCAACACTTCCTATATTTGAGGCAGACATGGCAGTGCCTAACAAAGAGTACAGGAAGCTGTTGTTTCTTTACAAGTCTATCTGGCCATTGTGACTCCTGTGCTGGGAATTCTTCCCTCTAGTTCCTAAGGTCATCTGCAGTATGAAATGCATCACAAGCTTCCCCCTCTCTTGGGAGGACTGTGCTGTGCAAACAGACTGTGGATCACATCCTTTAACTTTTCTTCACACTCTCTTTTCTAGGAGAGAAGGAGGGGTCATGCTTTTGCTGTGCAAAATTATTCTCTCCGCCCTCCAAGGAAGTACTGCACTTTCACTGCACTTAGCACTCCCCTCATTTGCTCTAGCCTTCACAGGATCAGAGCCTGGCAACTCTTGGTCTTCCACTTCTTCCTTCCTCTCTTTCTCCTCCTCTTCTTTCTCAAGATCTATGGAAGTCAACAGCTCAGAGTGTATTCCTGGTGGAGCTAAAGTTGTGGGTCCACGTCAGGCTTAGCACAATATTAACATCACATGACCCCTTCAAGGAAGTATGCAGTACACACCTGGATATTCATTCATTTATTGTTTGTATTTGTAGCCCACCCTTCCCAAAATGGTCCCAGAGCGGATTACAAAAATCTAAAAATTACAAATTTCAATTAAAATTATCAAATAAACACAAAACAAAAAACCCAACCTACAACAAAAGATCAAAACAGCAGAGCAGAACTGCAATGCACAATAAAGGAAAGCAATGTAAGGAGGAGGAAATATGTCTACTCAAACCAAAGACCTGGTTAAAGGGTTCTCAGTGTTATACTGTGGGTCTGTTATTTCCCTCCTAACTGTACATAACAGGCAGATGCAGAGGGCAAGAGTATAATGTAGAAATTCCATAGGAACATACCTAGAATAGCTGGCCGGCATTGCCATTAATCTTAATAACACCAGCACAAACATTTCCAGCACTTGAGATTCTCAGTCTGATAGACTTTCATGCTTTGTGCCCTTGCAGGATTGATGGGAAATATTTCTCATTATTTCCTAGGCCTACTAATTTGCAGGTGGTCACTGCAACCCTGAGATCCCCTTCATATGGTCGAAGCATGACCCTGTGAAGGCAGCGGCATCCTACTGTCTAAACAAGAAGCTCACTCTGATATGCAATTTGTACCTTTAAAAAAATCAATAGTCTTCACTGAGGGTGGAAGGGTTGGCTCTTCATCCTCTTCCCCATTCAATATTTCAAAAGAATTCAGAAGTTATGAAATGTGCAGAACAGAGAACACAAAGGATGGCTTCTCTGTGACCATGAAAAAGAACAAGCTGCCCATCTTCTGTCAAAGGCTCTTAGGGCCAACCTAATCTGCACTTAGTTTTCAGTTGCAGCAGTCATTTTTTTCCTGCTGTATCTGAAAATGTCCATGATAAATGTTCATTTGTAATGAGCACAATATTACTGTTGGAATATTGCTGGAGTAACAAGCTGTGGATACTTTCTCAAACAAGGTCACAGCTCACCATTTGTATTCACGGCCGCATGCATATTTGATAAGATTACTGGGCAATAGGAAACCGAGGGGTGACATGAGGCAGGTTTGGCATCTCACAAAGGAGAAGGCAGAATGTTTATGGGAAGAGGAGAGGACAGAACTTCCCATTAAATGGAGGAGGCTAAGCTGTTTCATTTGCTATGGGCTAATAAACTACAGATCAACATTGGCTGATGAAACTAGGAATTTTAAGAATGCCACTTTAGTCACAGTGAGGAGCATACCCTCTGTAAGTTGATTTCTGAGCTATTTGATCCTTTCCTAATATGTGCCACAATTTGGACTGAGGAAAGGAGAATCACTATCCATCAGTTCTTGTCTTCTGTGACAAGTCTATCAGATGGAGGCACATATTACAACTTATTCAACCAAATCACCTGCCACCCCATCATTTCTCTTCTAAGAAAAGCTGACAGCCAGTCACACTTACCTGTAAATTAGAACCTCATCATCAGAGCAGTTATACTGTAGCTGGTACATTTTAACTCTTGGAGCTGACTTGCTTACTGTCCATTTGACCAAAGCTGAGGTAGTTGTAACCTCAGAGACCAACACAGCCCTTTCAGGTGGCCCCTTGGTTTCCCCTCGATTTGACTTGCTGGAGCTGGTGATGTCAGAAAGCCTTGATTTTGGTGGGGCGGCCCGACCTGTTCCATTGCTGAGATGGGGAAGCTGGACAATTGACAGCTCAATTGTTGCAGTAGACTCTCCAGCAGCATTTGCCGCTATGCACGTGAATGTCCCATAATCCTTGGATGTTGTGATCAGGATTTCCAAGGTGCCATTGTCATAAACAGCTGTCCTTGAAGAATTCCCAATAAGTCGATCATCTGGTGCCACCCAGTGAATAACTGGAGATGGATCTCCAATTGCTTTGCACTTCAAGGTGGCTGTTTGTCCTTCTAAAACCAACAATTTGTGGGTGTGCTGTGTGATCAAGGGAGGCTCACAAATGAACTCCTCTTCCCGGACATACCAAAAGTACCTCCCTTTTAGTCCCGGGGGAGAAGCACAAGTTTCCATATCATCATCTCTGTCAAGACGCCGCAGCCACATCAGTTCACAGTTGCAATGCAAAGGGTTTCCACCAAAGCTCAGAGATAAAGGTGTGGAGAATGGAGTTGAGGTTAATGGAGCTGTTTGGGATCTGGCAAATATGGGATCAGGAGGCAGCTTCTGAAGTCTGTTGGAGGTTAGATCCAACCTGGCCAGTTTCTGAAGATCTGCAAAGGTACCCTCTGTAATATAATCTATCAAATTATGGTCTAAACTAATCTGGTGCAAGTTTACCATCTTCCTTATAGATTCCCAAGGGATGCTTCTGAGGTTATTGTAAGAAAGATCCAGATCTTCCAAGGTGAACAAGAAGTCTTCAAAGGCTTCATCTGAAATGCAGCTCAGCTGGTTGTTGTTTATAATCAAGTGCTGAAGATTAATCAGGCCTCTCAAAATATCCTCCCCAATGTCAGGCAGCCTGTTACTATCCAAATGCAAGGACCGTAGGCTCTCTAGGTCAGCAAAAGAATAGGGCTGTATGTAACTGATGGTATTCCTAGATAATGTAAGGTCAACAAGGCCCGTCATGTTGGCAAAGTCCTGTCTACTGATGTTGATAATGAAGTTGCCCCCAAGACGGAGTTCAACAGTCCTCCTGTCTATGTCTGGTGGTACAAAAAGGAGGCCCTTGGAAGGGCAAAGAGTCCCCAGTGACTCAGACAGGTTCTGGCAGACACAATATTTCGGACAAGCGTTGACCACAACAGCCACTCCAAACACCAGGATGCCACAGAGCAGTTTTTCCATGGTAAATCACACGATGGGGCCTGCAAGAATGAGATACAGTTATATATTAGAAAGTTATTTCCAGCTGGAGCTATTAAACCAATTTCATGCCCAGTTATTTGACCAAAAAAAAAACATCCAAAGAAACAGTTTTTGAACTCTGATCTTAACAGATGAGATGGTTCTAACAAAATAACCCAATGGGCATTTTCCTGGTGATGACCTGGTGAATTAGAAATGCTCAGCATTGTTGCTCCTTTCTATACATTGACAAAAATAATATTTATTTACTTATTTGTATTAATTTATACAGTACTAATATAAATATAAATTGCCAAGTCATAAAACAATATCATGGTGGTGTACAATAAAACTCAACATCTTATGTGATTTCAGTGATATCTTGCCGGAAGCTGCCATTGCCAGGTAAGGGAGGTTTCAGTGGGGCAGGGCGATGGTGGGGCAGTGTTGCAGCACATTCCCTGTTTTGCCTCAGGCGGCGAAATGGAACACGCCATCCCTGGTGGAAGGATACAATCACCAGCCAGTCTGTTGTTTTGGACCTGTCACTATCTCTCAGCCTCCTCACAGGGTTGTTGTGAGAACAATGCAAGGAAAGGGAGACCCATGAATGCCACCTTGATATTCCTCTTTGCAGGAAAAATGGAATGGATATAAACATGCAGCCTGCATGTCCTTGATTTTCAATTGGGGGATGAGAGAATGTGTATCACACTGTTTCCTGTATTGCAGGGGATTGGTCTTAGGGGTCCTTTCTAACTCTACAGCGCTAAGATTTTATGAAAAAAAGAATAAAACAAGGAAAGTGTGTTGCTTTGAGATTTTGAGGAAAACTTCTTTTTAATGCCTTGAATTTTCATTTGATAGGTTATTGCCCCAGTAAACCTACTGGCCAAGCCTCCACTGACCACATGATCTATTAGAAATGCTTGTCTAAGCTGTGCAATATAGTACAGTATTTCAAACTTGTTGAGATGAGAGGTAATAATCCTATCTTCCATTTTCTTTTTTTATCTTGAGAGGGTTTTTTTTTTCCTTCTCGACAAATTGTTGAGATGTTGGCAGACCTAACTGTTAATTTGCGACAGAGAAGAAAGACAAAGGATTGAAACGGCTCCTTTGGTTAAGCCTTGCAAATAAATATTGGATGTTTCTGCAAAATGCAGGATAAGTTTAGCTTCATTTTACCTTCTGTATTAAACCAGGATGCAGTGCATTTGTAGCCATGTTATTTATGCAAATCTGTAGCACAGTTAGCAAAGCTCCATGCTTTGTATTTATCCATTACTAACAGATAGTCAGCTTTTGGAATCTTAGGGATAATTATATTCTGGAGCTTTAATTTTGTGTATTATCCTAGCAGCTGTAACTATAAACAAAACAGGAGTTTAGAAACAATTTGAAGAAAGAGATGAAGATGGCTAATTTGCAATAAGCAGAACATCCTTTACAAACTTACTTCTTCTAGCTTCTAGTCCAAAACTGCATTTGAAAGGGGGTTTTTGCACACTATGGGGACTCCTTTAAGTGTATTATATTTTCCCAGTTACCCTTTGGGGAGATGCTTGTGGGTTTCACTTTACTCATGAGAGCAGGTTGTCACTGAAGAAGAAAACGGAGAAGAGATGGAATACAGCTGTAGGGAATGCACAGGAACAGCCAAGAAAGGAGGGCTGCATAATGTTCCTATGAACTTTTAGAGCCTAGTGAATAGATATAAAGTAATGGGGAAGTGTGAAGTTATGTGTGCGAGAGAGTGAAAGAGAGAGTAGTGTTCATCAAGAGGAGGATCAGCAATTTTCATATGCTGGAAATACCCCAGAAACCATATTTCTGACTGCAGACACCTATTGCATAAATGGAAACACACCACAGGCAATTTTCAGCAGTTGCAACAAGCCTCCCACAGAATTAGAAATTGATTGCTTGGGCAAAATACTACCCAGCATCTTCCAAGAAAGGCCACGTATCTCCTCCAAGTTGTTGTAGGTGTTGATGTCAACACTGAAAAAGTCCAAGGACAAAGGAAATTGTCCTTCTTGGCTATATTTTGGCACTATGTAGACTTTTCTGCACCTGTAGCAGCAAAACTGTACATCTGCCCCACATGCTCTGATCCACAGGGACTCCAGCCACAGAAGATATATATTCTGGACTTCTCTTCTACTCCTACCATCAAACCTTCCACAGAATGCAGATGGGATGACGGTGATATCTCACCGCTTTCCCAATTTGCATTTAATAGGCATCTATCAGGCTATGAAAGTGGCATTTTCGCAGCAAGTCTGTAAATCAAAGTAGGTTCCTGTCTCGGTACTGAGTGAAAAACTGCATCTTTAGTCCTCTTATAACATGGTTCTGCATGAATTAATGTGAGTAAGAGGCATAAAGACTCTTGTTTTGTATTCAAATTCCCCTCATAAAGATACAAGTCTTGAGAGGTGGCATCTCATTTGAGCAATGTCTCCAAGAAACATTTTTTAAAAAAATGCTTTCTCCATTCATTGAGTTTTGCAAATAAATTACAAGTCACCTCACTGGTTACAAGTCCATTATCGGATAAACACTTTGGTGGTTCAAAGCTACAATTTGCCTCACCCTATAAAAATACACAATTGCCTTGTTAGATCGTGTCAAGATCCATCTTGTCCAGCTTTCTCTTCCTAGGATAAATCCTCAAAAGTAGGGCCTCAAAATGAAGGTTATTCTCTATAATTTGTCCCTGCATCCTTTAGTCCACCACAGGGCTGGCACTATCACAAGGCAGAGTGAGGTGGTTTTCTCAGGCAGCTGAACATCAATATCATGAAATGGCAGCAAATTGTTAGTTATTTAATTTCAATTCCAGGGAGAGTAAGAGGTGCTTGTAGGATTGTGGGGACGGGGATGCTAGCAGAGCTAATTAAATACTGCAGAGTCCGGAGGGAATGAAACCAACACTAATGGGTGCATAACTTGAGGAGAAATAAACAGAGTGGTTTTGTTTTTTGTTAGTAGTTCAGGTTTTGTCCCTAGCAGGGAGCCATACAACAACTAAACATACAGGAGAAAATTCCCTCAGAACTACAGAGCCAATCAAAGTGCAAGTTTCCCCAGTGAACATCATGCCATGCTGACTGGTTGCTAAGAAACACTTCCAGCGCCTTTTTGGTTAGCCAACTTTAGCATTAAAAGTTAATTCTTAAATTGCACTGAAAATAATCCCTACTGTTGCATTTCCAACACCTGTTTGCTGAGCATCAAAATGTATTAGGCCAGCCCTGACCTCTGTAATGGACACTATGCACAAGTTGTTGCTGTGTTGTTCCCAGTTGTTTCAATAAAAAATGAGGGGAAAGGTGATTCCATTTACATTTAAAGATGAACATACCTAATGTGCACTTCCTGAAACAATACATGAATGAAAACACAGGGTGGTATATAAATCTAATAAATAAATAATAATTTCCCTAAATTTGCAGTTCTCCAAATTTTGTGATGCAGTTCTTTGGCCAAGTAATGTGCTTATACTAGGGTAAACTGTGTATCAAAATGCATATACTGGTGAAAATATACAGCGGATACCATTATATTGGACAAAAGTGCATACAAAATGTGCACCTTGGGAGAAATTCCCAATAAAATGCTGATGGATTTTCATGAGGACTTTAATTTTTAAAAAATGAACGTTTGTTTGTTTGTTACATTTATATCCCACTCTTCTTCCAAAAGATACCCAGGGTAGCAAATGCTACTGCATTTAAAAATAAAATAGTAGTAATAATAAAAATTATAAACTGTTGCAGTCATTTTAAAACACGAACGCATCTAAAACAAATCTGAGAACAGATGCAACAAATCTTGTCTCAGCAGGTGCCTAAAAGAGCAAAGTGACAGTGCTTGTTTAACATCTTCAATGCTGTTGAAAGGCGGATAACTGAACTGAACTGAAGACTGAAAAAGAGAGGAAAACTGAGAGACTAAAATGGTCAGATTTGCCTATCCTTGCTTTCAGCTCACCCTCAAGGTGAAACTAGAGGAGATGGTGGTTACCACAATTGCTCTTCGCCTATCTGCCCCACAGGCCATAATACTCCTCAGGGTTTCTCCTTCCTGTCTCCCCAGAGCCTCTCCTTATGTCTCAGCTGTTGATGGGAAGCCCTTCAAGGAGAGCTAGAGGACAGCCTCTGAATTTGTGTCTGTGAAGTATTAACACAGTGTGGGCTCTGTTCTTGGCCAGGGCTCTCGAACCTAATTGCAACACGAGATAATTAACAACCTTAATTACACAAACTACAGTTTTGGTTTGTGTTTTTTATTCAGCCAGGATGATCAACACGAGGCAAATTACATCCAGACATCCTTTGCTTATATGGCCATCATCTGTCTCTACCAAAGTGACTGGCAGTTTCATTTCCATGACAACTGGATCACTTTGTATAGAAACGGGAACAAAGGGAGGGCCTGGGGGCCCCCTCAAAGATATCATAAAGGAAGAAAAATATACACACTATGAATTAGGAGCTACTTGGTTGTGTCAGTGGAAGAAGAGGAAAGAACTGTGAATTTATGCTGTCATTCGTAGAAATTCACTGGTGGATATGAATGGATGGCAACTTGCGACTGCAAACTGTTCTATCCAGTTCTGAGAAGTGAGTTCCTTTTGATTTATTCTAGGAAACAAGTTAGGACTAGAGATGAGAGAGAAGTTTGGCTCATGCCTTCCGAAACAAGACATAATTTGTACTTCCCAAAAGCATACAATAATGGAAATGCAGATATCCTTCCAAATCCACATATCTCCAAATTTTGCAACCAGATAATGTGCAAAATAAAATGTGTACATTATGGGAAAGTGTGCATATATTAGTGAAAATAACCTACAAAAATGCATTGTAATAGGGGTAGTTGCCTGCAAAAAAATGTTAGATTTGGAGAAAGGCACACTAAAATGATGGTGAATTTTCATGATGGATTTTAAAATGATAATAATTGTTATGGGCGGGTAATAATAATAATAA